GGCAAACTGTCCACATGTTAATACGTTCTAGTGGTGTTTAAAATAATTTTGATATTAACTCAAAATCGGGAGAGGTGATAATTCCTTAACCATATTTTAAATAAGTAATTGATAAGATAAATCCTGTTTGAGCATTGATTGGTTCAAAAATAGTCAATTCAATTTAATTCATAATCATCATTTATATTCAGTAGCGACGCTAGCCATTTTTCAATTATTTTGGAACAAAGTATAAAGCATAAATAGTGTATACTACCCATTTGCTTGTTTATTATTAATTTAATTTTAAATCATATTAATTACAGGGACACTCGTCTCAGCCTATATCACCGTATCTTCAATTTGTATTATATCTAATGTTCTTGTTTGTTCGTCACTGATGGAATTGATCATTAAGAGACACGATACCACACGTCATATGTTTGTTTCTTATGTGCTGTATTGTGGTAAGCTTAATAGCTCATAAATTCGTACGATACCTGTTGTTGTGACACACACATACACACAAGATATAATATAATATCATTTGAACAATTCAAGCGTGACAAATAAAAAGAACAATAATAATTATAAACATGGCGTTTAAACTTCTGTCGGAATTTTTTTTATTACTTTTTTTTTTGTACGTGCGGTAAATTCTCATGTCTTTTAGAAAAAAAATGGGACATAATGCACGGCATTGTCGGCTCGGTCGTAATAATTATTTCTCCTATACATCGACAGACTTTTTTTTTTCTCGTCCAGATTAACGGTATCAGCCACTGGAGTGTATATGGTAAAACAATAGGCCGTAAATGCGTGATCCGGACGATTTGCCCATCTCCCTCGCGCCTACCGCAGGCCACAATTAAATAGAAAAAACCACGAAGGGGAGGTAAGCCGGGGAGAAGGGGAAATAACCGTGACAAATGTATAAGAGGAAACTCGCGCGGTGTGGTCATTCCTCGTACTCCTTCTCTGTTCGTAATGTACCAACAAAAAAAATATATTCATTATTCAGGTCAACCCGTTGGATGAAAAATATGAAAACTTAAACATAAGAAGAAGATGGCGAATAATAACAATATTTACTGTATCAGTTAGCATCGGTCAGATCGTCCGGCGTATACTTTGAATTTTTTTTTTTTTACTCATACCTTCTTGCTCTAATAAAACAACGTGTATTACATAGGTATATTGTAAATTTATATCTTGTGAACAAAAAAATGCGCGAAGACTGCGTGATGCCTGCGATTTTCGTTTACAACCTCGATTGTTTTTTTTTTAGATCTGTAATTTAACGAATCGTTTATAAAAACATAGTCGTCGTATACGCTGTACGGATAACGACGGTACTATTATTATTATTATTATTATTATATTTTAATTTTTCGGCAAAATGTATGGTTTCGTCATCCACAACAGTCGTCCGAGATGCATATATGCACCACATAATAATAATGCAGCGATGGTATAGATCCGGTGCACTGACCCAGTTCCTAAAATAGTTGAACGTCCAGTCATCGACGCACAATTTTTTTATTATTTTGAAAAGTAAGCCCGCATGCTATTGAACATAAGGGCAAACGTTTACGACTCGAAATTATTACCTACGTCGAAAAACAATCAGAAAATATGTATGTACGATCCTAAATCAACAACATTGAACGTAGTGTCGTCGACGTCCATTGACTTTAGTGTATACTCATGTATACTCAAATAGGTATAAGTTTAGAACCTAAATGAGTGTAATACTCATTTCTGGTTTAACCGCATACAATACCTAACTGTGATAGCTGTGTGTGCGGTAGGCCGTTGCTGTGTATTTTATTCTGTACTGAACGCCGTATGCATAATAGTAGGTTTAGGCAATGCTTGCAGCCTAATGGTATGTTATATTATTCATTACCGAAATAATTGTTTTCCAAGTAAAATGAATGTACCTACGCTATAATGTAAAAGTAATTTGAATTTTCAATTATATATCTACAAAAAGATTATGTCCAACGCTGTTACCTATTTACTATAAATTATTTATTCGGATAACAAATTACAACCGTGGCGAGTGCAGCACTTGATGCCCAATTGCAGTTTTGCAAATTTAAATTATTAATACTTGAATAACATGAACTAAATTAAAAATAAAAATAAAAATTAGATACATTTTAAAAACATTTCTCTGCTTAAAGACACGAACGCCATAAATTTGTTTTTTTTATTTCAATTACATTTTTAAAAATAGTATTAATTTAAAAAAATTAGTTAGGAATTTAGTTGGTACTAAATTAGTCACAACTCGCAGATTTCATACTTATCGAAATTTGTAATTGAATCTGTTACAACTAACATGTGATAAAAAATCGATTAAAATAATAATCTTATCATTGTTTATCTAAAATTTACTATAATTCAAACGTCTAATCAAGTTGTTTTCTTGTTATGGCTGTTTACACCGACTATACTTAACATATTTTATGAGCAGTGGCATCCTACATAGTAAATTTATTTTTTATTTTTATTTTAGTTTGCATTTAAATCGATTGCAATTTTGACAAACTCTGTTGCTTTCCGACAATAGTGATCAGTGCAATTGAGTATATTGTTTTAGCATTTAAAATACATAATAATCATGCAAAACTGGTACCTTACCAGTTTACGATTTCGGATTCTAGACACCGTCAACATGATGGAACGCACCGTTATATTCTTCTCGGACACATTCTTCAGTGATCAGTCACACAGTGTTTTATTAAACAAGTTATAATATGCACATCTTTAATCTTTACGATTACTTACTGCAATTTACTCATTCATCATCGCAGCCAACATCCGCTATATAATAACTATTTGCCGCCGACGGTCATATTATACCCGTTTGAACCGTGTTCGAATTTTGCAGTTATTTTTATTTCGTTAGTCTGTTGTGATTCGGCCGCCATCCGACACAGTTTAATAATAATCAATCATTGAATACCTTTAAATCCATCCGGGCTATCAGACGTACTTACGGTATATTTGTATGGACCACTCGTTAGATTATTAAAAAATAAAATGCATTTTCATATTATAATTATTATTCGTTTTATACCCTTAGAGTACAGATGTTATTTACCTAACGCAGACTGATAAATTCATTATGTTTTAAGAAACTCTCCAAGTATCCAAGATATATTGCTATCCAATGTTCTCGAGATTAATTAATTTTATACACAGCGAGTGTGTACAAAAATTCTTTTTTACACGTCTTAACTCATACAGGCTAAACCGTAAATGACAATAATATATGGTTTATCCGATGGTCGGCTAATTGCACGAGGTCGAACAACGATTGTACACTTACCATAGCTACACTTGCCGCACTACGCTGCGTTCCTGCAATTCCATATTTATGTTTGACGCTTTTTTTATCAATATTTCCATGGCCGTGGCAATAATATTATATTACATTGTTTAAACCGTACAATTTCTATTATGTGGAGGGCTTTTTTTTTTGTACATTTTTTTCTCTCTAGTAAAACGTCTTGTGCATCCGTTTAAGTCATCGCACAGGAAGAGGTACAACATATATACAATGATAATAAACGTTTGTCGGATATCTATGTACGTGTATATATATATATATATATATATAAGTAGACAGATGAAAATGACACACGCTGACGCCGATTTCCCGAGAGAGAGATATAGTTCTTTGAACTGATCGATGTAACGATTCGCCGCAATTTGTACGGTTGCCCCGAAATGCATTCCGCACACATGTTCTGGTATACGTGATGATCGGGAGACGGCGTACAATGGCAAAAAAAACACTATCTATATTAGCAAAAAAAAAAAAAAATAATAATACGGTTTTTAAATTTCTAATATATGTATATATGTATGTATATATAGGTATAAATATCCGTGTATATATGCATAGAATAATTGTGTGTCGGCCTTCCGCCATTCAAATCGTTACGGCAGTTGCGGCGTTAGTATCGTTTCCACGGTGGACGGCACCGTGTATTTTGACGGAATATCACATCTTAACAACCGGAATGTCGTGCATCTTCACAACGGTCGTGTGCTATATTCGAAAATGGAAAAATGAGTAAAAATATTCCTGTTGATTAAAAAAAATATATATGTATATATTATTAAAGAAAACACAACAACAATACAGTCCTTAGCACGACAGATCAGTGAGGAAGTCACAGATTTGTTCAGAATTATCAAGTCTAAAATATATCATAAAAGTGATATTTAGGGAGGAAAAACAATATTGCACAGCGTACTCGAATCAGTAGCCACTGTTTGTCAGAAGCTGATAACAGTAATTAAAAAAATTGATCATGTAAAAAAAGATTTAAACTTAAAACGATTATTAGTCGTTGCACCGATTACAATTAAAATTTAGTATAGTTATAGTTTTGTCAATTTACACTTAGATTTCAAGTGGCATACACTAGCTAAGTTTAAGTTTGTGAAGATTGAAATGTTAAAAATCTATTAATTCTGTGCTGTTTGAGCTGAAGGGGGAAGGTAAGGTAAGGTAAAGATTTGTTCTTTCTTTTGGCTAAGCGTGTGGGGTTTATCGCTTAACCTGTAAACCAGTTTTTTGAGTTGGGTTTTGTTTGCCAACTGCTATTCGCCAACAAATAAAGTTTTTTAAGCATGACAGTAATTAACTTATAAATCTCCAAAAGATCATGTCTCATTATAATAGCATACTCAAACCTCACATGATTATCGTCTAATTATGAGCGTTACAATTGTGATATTGATTAAAAGAATCAAATTATCTAATAATATCAGTAATTATTATACTGTATACACAATACACGTTGCACCACAGGTTGTACCACTACTGCTTGTCAAATCGGTAGTACAGTAAAAACTAACCGGAAACCGACGTTTATAACTAATAGTACCTAGTCTTTGTTCCCGTAGTTCATCCCACGTTATAAAAAATATAAATATATATATTTATTTTTTTAACTCGATATCATTTACCTTTACGTGATTTCTTTTTTTTTTTGCAGAAATCTACTAAAATATGACAACTGCCGGCCCAAGACATTCCGGTAGTTTGAAATGGAGGTGGTCGCTCGTCGTCGTATTCCTCATAGCAAACGTCGTCTGCGTATTCGGTGAGTACCTAATAATAATTATACTATTTTTTAAATAAAAAATACAAGTTTTACTTTATATACCTAGTACATGGTTTAAGGGAACGTGGTAATCACCTTCACCTTATAAGTTAGGTGTTTTTTTTTGCGATGAGAAAAAAAACCTAAATTTTTCTACATTAAATCTGAGATCAATTCAAAATTCTGCAAAGAAAAAAAAAATCTTTTTTTCAAACAATAGAAATACCAACAAACCCATTTTTTTCTAATGTGGAGGCGATTTAAAAATTAACGTTTTAGAGAAAATTTAAATCCCACATTTAGCCGCAAAAATAAAAGCTGTCTAGTTATTACTGTATAGTGTAATTATAGCTACAAGGAAATTTATTTAAAACTGTAAAATTCGTGGTAGGTACAATAATGGAACTGAATTATTTTGAATTTCTATACCTATAATTTCTGTATTTTTGGAGATTTTGTTTTTAATATATCAGGAATCAGGAATGGCCAACATCCCTTTTTGCAAATTAGCTCTATTTTTTTTCCATAAGGGTCTATGTTAATTTTTTTAACTTTTCATAATTTTTTCCACTTTTATTCTTGGCGCTAGTGATAAAACCCCCCTTGTTTTCTTTTTTCTTTTTGCCGTACACATATTTATAATAATGCCAAGTCGTAGACGTATGGGAAAACTAGCAATAAGTGCAGGTTGTACGCCTTACAACGATGTGATTATTGCTAATATAATTACACCGTATACCGTACCGTGCATGTCAATAATAGTTAAGACTTTGTGGAAGTATCTTGCATCGTTTCCTATTCGAGGGGTATCCGGTGTCCCTCGTGAGGTTCCCAGAAGTAAAATAGATTTTTTTTTATAAATTTCCGTTTCTTATTATGTCAAGAATACAGTATAAAAATTCTAACGTTTACCCACTTACGACAAATGTTGGAAGTCCGTGTTACATTTTTTTTTCTCGTATGTATACGTCATATACCTACAGGCGGTGTTGCCGTGTTATACAGTAACTAAAATAATTGTACTTACCTGTTGTTGTCTGCACGGTGGCGACGACCAGGCCGTTATGGCCACCGTCTGTATACACAATAATAATAATAATAATAATAATAAAATATATAATACATTAATTAAAAAAATCACAATTGCCAAGTGTGTGTGTGTGTGTGTGAAATGTACTTCGAGAAAGAATACTGACAAGATGATGATAAAAAAAAAAAACGAATTCCAAATACCAAGTACGGTTGTGTTCTATTATATCGGACATAACGACTACTGTACTGTGTGTCTGCTATATACAAATTATATTATATTATATACATTTATATATAATGTGTCGTGTGTATTGGTGACAGAAGAACTCGATAGACTCGCGTATAGTGATCGAACAGCAATCGATGAAATAACATTTGGCGTGTATTATTGTTGTATTTTATTATTATTGTTATTGTTATTATACATACATATATACATCATTGACAATAATCATTATCGCGATAAAGGCGTTACTGTAGCAGGATTTGTCCCGTTGTTTGGTTATTTTTTTCATTTTCATACATTTATATATATATATATATATATATATAAATAGTGCATCCACAGTGTATGACCCATAATGCATATTATAAAATGCTGTTGCGATGACGGATGCACCTACCTATTATCGTGATTATTGCCAAGAGATTTAGACGGGGGAAGAACTTAACTAGGTGACGAGATGATTATAACCGTTGGTTTGATGACCCAACGCGTAACGGTACAAGGTTATATCTGTATGTAGCGCCAAAATGTGTTCACCTAATATAGTGTTATGTATGTATACACAAACGGCGTACATTTGAATTATATTGTATAAGTATAATGTACAAGTACTTTTTGGTGTGTGGGAAATGGGATTACCTCTCAGAACAAACACGATTTTGGAACAATCGCACGGTTTTTTAACGCAGAGACGGTGCTTCAATTATAATAATAATATTATTATTATTATTATTACTTTTACTAGCACACTAGTAGTGGTGGGTGGATTCGGTTATTATATTTTTTGACTATTGCAGTTATTATCATTATTTTTTTTTTTTTACGCTGCCGTTATTATTAAGGTCTCCGATTGAGATGATCCATTTACTGCTTAAATCCTTAATGTTGTACGCCTACTCCGCTTTCGTGAAATAACATTCTTTTCATCCGTCGTTTCCTACTGAAAACCCATTAAAAAAACAAAAAAAAACAATGCGAAGCCGCAAGCCGACTTTAGAGATAAAATTGCTGTAAACGAATATTACCGGCGGCGGTGCTCATCAAAAATATAAAATATAAACCATTTCAAAAATAATTAGTACATCATATTATTTCTGTGTCTCGAATGCATAAAAGAGCCAGTCTCACGTTTAGCGGTGTATATGAACAGAGAGTTGAAGTTTTTTTACCTGAGGAATAAAGGTTTTTTTTAATGTACGAAAACTTCTTAAATAGTGTAGATAGCTAATAAAAAAAAAAAGAGGAGTGTTTTTTTTAGAGCGTTTAGCATAATAATATAATAATACTAAGTAGCCTAACTATTTTTGCATTGGTTCTTTCATGCTTAAAGTACAATTTCCAGGATTCATTATAACCACTGTCGATTACATTTCAAAACTGCTGTAACAATAAAAAATCTAACACTTTATAATCTATTAGATTTGCTTAAGGTTAACTAAATTGGAATAAAATACCGTTATTAATTCACATGTACTCATAATATACTTAAAATAACATACGACAAAAATAGTGCAGTCTCATTAGAGTTGTTGTAAACCGGGTTAACATAAAATAATTAACAACCATTAAAATAAAATACATGCATTGTTTTACTGACTTGTTAACAGTTTAGTTAATCTAATTAGGAAGTAACACTATTTAAAAAACTCGTAAATAATTATTCAAGCTTAATAATTAATTCTCATAATTAAAATTAACACATTGGGCGGTGAAAATGTTTGGCCTTTACTTATATCGATGAAATCCCAAAAAATGTACAAAAGTTACAATTTAAATTATTCAAAGAACTTTCGGTCTAAATCTAAAATACTTTAAAATATTTCTAGTCTTGAGTTGTGTTGATATTTTTTTAAGTAATTACAAAGTTATTCTCTTAGAAAAACTGGTCTTTGAAAAATACATTTCTCTACTCAAACAAGTTCTCTTCATCTCTACTCTCTCATTATTAAATTTAAATTAAAATTTTCCTGTTTATCTATCCTATTCTATGAACCGTTTCTTTTGATTGTCAATGCTTACTTACTCCTACGGTGAGTCCCCCTACCCAGGGTTGGTAAAAAACAATAATTATTCTCATTTCACCTTCTTGAAAATTCTTGAGCGTGCCAACTGTGGTGCGAACGACTTAAGTCATTGCTTTTTAGGCAAATGGAGTAAATAATAATATAAATAATTTTTTTATACGATCTATGTGTACGGACTACGGTGAGATGAGTAAAATTTCCACGGTGACGTTACACAGCAATTGCCAATTTGACATGTACATCTGTATTCTACAAATATACATTATATATTTTTACTTTTTATTTCGATGGTCTATGCATCCGTATCAGAAAAGACATATAGTTAGTGTTCAGAGAACAAAACACAACCGTCGCTGGATGACGGACACTATACCAGCAGATCAGTCAGTTCTTCGAACCATACACCAATAAAAAGATATTCCGAATTTGTATCGGTCAACGCGCTGTTGCCTATATCTTTTACCGCAATATACGATTGTATAGGCTTTGGTCAACGCCGATAAACATAGGATTATATATATGTACAAACATACACTTATTCACAGGTGTATATATAAATATATTATTCACTTTTTTCATTCGTCCTTTTTTTACTTCTTGAATGGATTTTGAACGAAGACGAGTAAGAAAGATAAAAAAAAAAAAAACGTAGTGAGGTAATCGAACTCTTAACAGCGGTTAACCGCTGATGCATGTAAACAAATAGCACCAAAGGCTTGATTGATTTCCTTCTATAGGCACGCTTTGTTTGATTTTTTTTTTGTTTCCTTTTAAACCATCGGGTATGTCGTTCTGTTGTTAATTTACTTAACAAAAAAAAAAACACCATCTATAGTTATATATAAGATTTTCCGCATGCGCGTATTTCCTACCGTCTATTTGTTCTGAGGTTGTCACTTCGGTTCGATTAGATTCGGTGAATCTATGTATACTTACTTGTCCCTAACGTTTTGTTAACCAATTATAATTATCAGATTCCAGAATAACAAAGCCGTAACGCTCAATTAGTCGGCTCTTTTTCTGAAGTCCGTTGCTCGGATCTTGTCTTATAGTCGGGTTGGTACAGATTGGTACCTCTACGCAACAAGTATCAAAAACGCTTGTGATAGAAGTGCTAATTTTCCTTTTACTAATTTATATAATGGGGGAGGGGAGTGATGTCTTACACCAAAAAAATTGGCTTTAATTTTAACTAAAAGTTTAAAAAAGTTCACACCTTTCCATTCGATATCGGGAAACAACACTCTAGAAATGCATACTTTTGTCATCTTAAACTTATGAAACTTTTTTTAATTTCAAATTTTTTAAGTAGGTATAACTAGTTAAGTAGGTATGATTAGAAATGGATTGCAGAAAAACTAGAATGGTTTGTTGAAAATAAGCAGATGTAGGGGCCTCAATGACGATAACAAAAGTTCGACTGAATAAAATAAAAATTGCTAATTTTGTAAAATAGGAAGAATTCCTAAGACTACAAGGGAGGCGATGAGACTACGAGGGAGTGTATATTTATACCTATTGGCTAGCCGTTAGAGTGATTTATATAGTATTATATGTTTGGTGCATTAACCAATTGGGCTCACTGAGTTTTAATTAATTTAAATGGCGATCTACTTATGATACTTATTATTTAACGGCTAGGTTAAGCTATTCGAGTATTCCACGCCAAATCGTTCTATGTTTGACTTTTACATTGTGGATTTTGCTGAAATATATGTGTAGACAATTTCTTTTTTTTTTTTTAACAGCCCGACAGCCGACCGGTGAAGAAATTGTGGTTTGGGAGTTTCGGTTGAGAATAATATAAGTTCAAAACAAAATTATACTCGATATTGTGCAAGATTATTTTTTTTTCTATTTTTTAACAATAACAGTGTTCGTGCTTAAATCGCGGTAGTTTTCCCGTATCCGTGTGATTAGCATGCCACCCGTGATCACACACAGGATCAGTGCTGTCAGACTACACGGATACCGACACATGTGTGAATAATGGAATCACGTACTCCGTTTTTGCACGGGTATTTAGTTTTTGAGCGGTAGTCTTAGATAGGTATGGTGTTTGTTTTCCAATATGTCAAAAAAAAAACAAAAAATTCTTTGGAGGTGTTGTAGTAGAAACGATTATACATCATACATATTATTATTATACACACTGTTCTTCCCTGTGTATAGTGCACACCGTAAACGGTTTAATTTGAGTAGTTTTTCCTTGTTAAATATCCATTTTGTTATTTTTTTTAACTGAGAAAAAAACGCCTACGCGCAGGAATCCTTAAACTTTTCCCTGACAGCACAGTTTCTAGTGATTTCAGAAGTCTTTGGTAGGTACATGTTTATTATAAAATTATTTTGGAGAATTCATTGTAAAGAATGTATTATAAACGTCTTCGTATGTCATACATAGGTAATCGTGCGCATCAATGTCAGACGGTTACAATAAAAATTAAGTTCATAAATGATATATTAGATGAGAAAATCACACATTTTTTAGACTACACTATTATTATTAACATGTATGTTTTTTTGAACATAAAATAAATATATATTTATTATAATTTCAAATTTTTTGAAACATGTCCTGGAGAGAACACAGCGTTTAAGTTTCCTTCTTTTCAAAAAGCTCAAAAATTATTTTCCCGGTAAAGTATTTTTTTTTAACAAAACGGTATTATTGAAGGCTGTTATAGTTTGAAAAAAATCCTTCTAAATAAATGGATAGTTATTAAAGCTAAAAATGACAGTCTCAGCAACTCGGTGTTTTTTAGTTATATAATTATTCATTTTTCATGTCAACTGCATGGCAATTTGTAGCATATAGGTTATTATTTTAGCATTTAGTTTGACCTAAAATAAAAAGAGTAAAGACGTTTCTACAAAACTGTAGGAAAATATATATTGCAATGTTACTTTCACAAAGTAAATTGGAAGGATAAATAGTAATAGGAATAGTTTTTTCAGAACGGTTTTACACCTTCAAGACCATACACATTTTGTGATACGTTATAATATATTTAAATTAATTAGACTTTGGCAAAAATATGATGCGAATAAAATTAGCCTAAGCTAAAATTAATATGATTGTGGAATAAAATTTAACCCAAAGCTGGTACATAAGTATAGACCCCTTATTATGTCAGTCGTTAAATAATCAACAGAAAATTCGAAAAATCATTTCACCGTTTCATATTCGGTTAATGAAATATAAAAACCTTGTTGTCAGATAAATAGGTTGGTTAAAATTACTGTTTTATTTAGGTAATTTATTTTATTACTACTCAAATAAACGCTTCTAATTAAATTCAAATTACCTCATTGTAAACTCGAAATACACTATTACACTCATTACTATGAAACCGTTATAATATACACATTTTTCAAGCTAACATGAATAAATAAGAACGTGCACTACTAAATTTCACACTAATATCTAGAATCAAGACGGTAAATTCGACCTACTTAGGTCAAAATAATTGCTCGCTAAATTTCCAATTATGACTTACGACCGTATATTATACTTACTATATTTGTTTGTCAAAAGGGTTATGAGTGTTATGTTCTATCGTGTAACTTGACTGATTATCAACCCCCGTACATCAATTTTTTGCTTCAGTTTCCTCAATTATGTTCGTTTAAAAATATCAAATGATTTAAAGTATCCAATTCAACGAACCCGTTACTATATTCATATATAGGCTTAACTAGGCGAGGAATGGTGGGACAGCTTTGCTCCCAAATATTATATCCGTTGACTCTTCAAAATTATTGATATTTTCAGTAGTTTTAATTGCTGCAAATCGTATTTTCTGTTATAATTCTAATATGTTTATTTGAAAGCAAAATTATATCTCACAAAAAATTGTCCTTTCGAAAATTTGACCTTAATTGCGCCAGCTTATACTATTTGCTGTTAAATGTCAACAAATACAGTTAACATAAGATATTCCAATCGGTTTAATTGAGTAGTTGTACTTGTTTGGTTTATTGAACTCGGAACATCGTTTCATACATTTTTTTTTCTTTATTACTTTAAAAAAAAAAACTCATCTATAATCGGCGATGATTGCGGAAATCGAAAATGCATAAAAGACTCTCGTGTATTTTTACTACCTCGATGGTCGAACACGATCGTTTTCGAATTCCGAAAGGGAAAAAAAAGAATAATTTACTCGTCCGAAACACCGAGGAGCAGGGTGTAACCAAGATGTATATATATATATATATATATATATATAAGGTCATACTTGCGTAAAGCAAACCTAATTCGTTTCCATTTCTTTTGCTTGTTTATTTTTTTTTTTTTTTAACTATACACATCTTATTTTCCTGTGTGTATTATACATGCGTACCTACCGTGTTTAACAATGACTTTTGTGTTTTTTTCCGTGTCAAATTATTCTGGGCAATTAAAAATACAAACTTGGTCACGGCTCTCGGTAGGTATTTGCGATTCGATGCATTTTGAAAGACGGGCAACAACCGCCGCGCTTGAAGACAACAAGCCACCGGCAATAATACACATATAGATACAGATATATATCTATATATATATAGTTAGATTCGTCGGAGACTATGCCTAATAATCGTGTATTGTCGATTTTCGGGGTCAAAACACCGACGCCGCCCCGTGGCAACGTTAATTACGGGCAACCCAATTTTCTCGACGAAAAGGAAACGGATAATTTGCCCATCGGGTGACACCGCATTAGTTTAGTTCTAAATAATAATATATATATACAAACCAATTGCGGCGCCGGTACTCGATCTTCGCATACAATATGTTTAACAAGGCTAGCGTTTTTTTTTTTTTTTTACTTCTGTAGTAAACGCTGCAAAAATTATATAGCTACGAGTCTCCCTCGTGTATAATACAATTTTGTCGTCTGGCAATGTGAATAAAAAAAAAAAAAAAATTTGATTCACTTTCTTAAATTATCGGCAAAATAATTTTACCAGACACCGGACGTCGCATCTGCGGTATTAAATATGGACATAATTATTTTTTGTAAGAAAATTTAAACGACATAAATCAGTGTTGAATTTATGATACATTTTTTATTGTGTCGCCGACAAAACATAAGAGAATTAACACTGTGGGTGTTTTTAATTTTTTTTTTTTTTAATCATAATTTTAATAAATTTTTCTAGGTCGCACCGCATTTGAAAAACTCACCGAACTGGACTACAAAGGTACTACATACTACACGGTGAAGAATTTGACGCTTTACGAGTGCCAGGGATGGTGTCGAGAAGAACCGGAATGTCAGGCAGCGTCGTTTAGGTAATTATTTTTATTGTTCACATCTTCAAAACCGTCCACACTCACCTACGAAAAACAGGAAACCCAAAAGTGTCTACATTAAAAAAAAAAATTACATAAAAAGTTGATCACAGTGAAAATTAGTTACCCTTAACACTTATGGAAATCAGTGGCGCAATAAACTCATACACATGAAAACCCCCTATTGCAAAAAATTGCAATATATTCACACATATACATGTTATCTAGCTCACGAGGTAAATTTATTTCTGGTTGTTCCAATTGGCGTAGGAAAAAATATTCAATCACCACGGCACAATTGGTAATACATTAACACCAACCGTGTAGGTTCGGATGCAGATAGCTTCTTTGGTTACTTAAACTGTATAGTATATTGTTTAATCTAATTGGATTTCTACACTTGCAGTTTTGTTTTAAATCCACTGACGCCTATACAAGAGACCGTGTGCCAGTTACAAAACGAAACAACGGCCAACAACCCGGCAGCGGCGCCGCAGCGTTCTGTTAACCTGTATTACATGGTGAAAATGCAAATACGGTCGGGTAAGTTATTTATGGTAGTTTTTTTAATTACCAATTCGAATATAATACACGAGAAGTTGAATATGTATGCAAAAAATCAGAATTGGGATGTTTAAACTAGCCGGTAGGGGTTTTCAATTTTTAAACTATTTGAAAAAAATATTGGAATACTTGATTACAAGCGGTTAACTATTACTTTTGGAGACCAAACCTATCAATAATTCACTGTTTGGCAAAATTGATTTATAATTGGGCTGCAATAATCGGTTTTGAAAAAATTACACATTGGAAAGCAATCATTTAAATTCTAAATTGAACATGAATAATTTCATAATTATACATACTTTGACCAATAACCAAAAATGAAAAACGTCTATTTTAAAACTAAATAAAAACGATAATTGATTGCATTTTTCAATGTATATATTTAGTTTGGTTTGAAAAAATGTATCTAGAATAGTATTGAAATAAAAAAAATAACTAGAGGTCATTGTCTTCGAATAGTTCTACTCGAAACGTTTAACATTTTAGGTTCTGGCACGTGTACTTTTAATCCCTCCTTTTTATAAATTAAACAGTAAACGGTAATATAATACGTTTCGTGACTTTTTTAGATAACGTGTGTCTAAGGCCTTGGGCGTTCGAAAGGGTCCCAAACAAAATGATCCGTGGATTAGATAATGCATTAATCTATACGTCTACGAAAGAAGCTTGTCTCGCTGCCTGTTTGAACGAAGTAAGTGCAGTGCATTATTAAGTCTCCTCTGGATTTCTAATTCGGTTATTTTAAATCTAATTTAAGTTTGTTTTTTAAATATTATAACTATTATGAGAAATAGAATCGGTTTATTAATTCCATTTATAATTATTTATTAACAGCACCGGTTCACCTGTCGTTCTGTGGAATACAACTACGTGACGTTACAGTGCCATCTAAGCGATTCGGACAGAAGAACCACTGGCCAGTATGTTCAGTTTGTCGAAGCACAGGGTGTTGACTATTTTGAAAATCTCTGTATCAAAGGTGAGTTTGTGAGCCGAATTTGAGACGGTTGCAAAAATGCAGTTGGTCACAGAATAGATGTTGACTGCAAGTTCTGTTTGAATGTTATAGGTAACCAAGCTTGCAAAGGAAACCGTGTGTTCCAAGTGCCCAGAATTGGCGTGGCCGACGACAAAGTAGCGCAGTACGCGGCTTTACACTATTACAATGACAAAGAATTACAGGTAACATAACGACCTCGAAGGGACCATTAGATATTTAGACCTAGTTATTATAATAACTCAATTAATATGTTTCCGAGGTTTCCGTCTAACTTGGTTTAAATGTCCATCGGCTTTAAAATTTAAAACCATGCCATAAAAAAATGTGTGTGAACTTTTGTATTATAATACTGGTATGTACTTGATAATGGTATACTATTATACTAGTGTGACAATACTAATTTTATAACTTTATATAAATTTCACTGTAACTGCGTCCATATGTAAACGAAATTGCTTTTTTTTTTACATCAAGTTATAGTCAAGTAATAATTGTATTTTAAGAAAACCAAAATAGGTTGTCATTATATTATTTGATTAAAACTAATCGAAACATCGTTAATGAGATATTATAATTACTAACAGGCGCGGATCCGAGGGGGCGACGGGGGTGAGCGCCCCCTCCAAATCCTTAAAAAAAACATTTTACACGTCCCTAGAGGCCTACGTTATTCGACTTTTTTTCAGAGCATTTAAAAATAAAATGTACAAAATTATAAGAACAAGTAATATCGAAACGAGGATGTACGTTTCAACTCTTTGCTGGTGTTTTTTTTCATCAGGTGACTAGCGAAGCGGCTTGTCGGTTGGCGTGCGAAATCGAAAACGAATTCCTGTGCCGGTCGTTCATCTACAAAGGTCCACCCGCAGGGACGGCGTACAACTGCGAGCTGTTCCATTTGGACCACAAGACCTTGCCGGACGGTCCCAGTACTTATTTGAACGCCGAACGTCCGCTCATCGACGACGGTCAGAAAATAGGCAATTACTACGAGAACTACTGCGAGAGTGAGTGGCATTACATTTAAATATTCTTTACTCGTATATTGTGACTATACTATGTTTGTTGTCTGTGCCCGCTTAGAGTCCACCACGCCACCACACGAGCAGCTTCCAGTTGTGTTTGAGAGCACAGACGACCCGTCTCTGAATCTGACCAGAACGGACTTGAACTGCGACAAGACCGGCACGTGCTATGACGGTAAGTGTCGTCGCTCATCAGCCAGCGTCTTATAAAATGTGTCTACACAACGTTCAATATTATGCTATAATATTATGTACCTGCAATAGAATCAAAGCATCGTTACTTGTACTTGTCAAATTTGTTACCGCGAGTGAAATTCGACCTGACCCCCGACGGTCGATTAATGGTTTTCCGAAAATGAAAAAAAAAACCTAAACGACTCGCTTTTGGTCGGATTTCTCTCGATAATGTTAACTATATTACACTATAATTATCAATAACAGAAGGAAAACGAGTCTTCACCAGATCATTTATTATACTACTTAGTACTTACTACTCGGGATGGTAACAATATTTCCAGCCGTCCGTGAAATTATCCCGGGACAGTTATACTAATTTCATTCAACCCGTATCGCATTGTGTTTTTCTCAATTTCATTTTTCCCCCTTATTATTATTATTATTATTATCAATTGAAAATGAAGTCGCGTTCAATATTATTTCACGACCCTGAACGTTTTCATTTCTCCGCCAGTATACTATGTACATCCGCGTAACTGTAACATTTTCAACAATTACAAATTCACAGAATTATAAACAATATAAAACAGTTTTTCAAAAACTGCTAAACAGTTATATCATGCGGTCAAAAATGGAGATTTTTCGCATTTAAAATTCCAGTTGACCCGCGACGCAACATTATATAATATATATTTATAAATTATAAGTTTCTATTGTAACTCACTATTCGCCGTCTTACTGGATTTAAGTCGCCTTTTAAAACGATTATAAACGGTCACGATTGGATAATTATTATTTATTATACTTGTTTCCAGTGTCTGTCCATTGCAAAGACACTAAAATAGCCGTTCAAGTGCGCACCAACAAACCGTTTAATGGCAGAATCTACGCGCTAGGCAGGTCGGAAACGTGTAACATTGACGTGTTGAACAGCGATCAATTCCGGTTGGACTTGACTATGGCAGGACAAGACTGCAACACCCAATCAGTGGTAAGTATCGACAACCACAAGTAGTAGACAGCCAAGAACAAAATAATAATTATTAAAAATATTAGACATGTGTAATATTGCAAAATAGCTGTTATTTTTCAAAGTAGTTGATATTAAAAAAAAAAAAACAATAGATGCTACTCTAACTCATAACATTTTACACTTTTTTGACATTTTGTTTTAACTCCTATTGTTATTATTATTTTTATAAGCTCGATACTTTTAGAAAAAAATATAACACACATCTCTAAAATGTATGAAATTATATAGGTACTGTATAAGGAGTTATTTTTGTACTTAATGAAATTTAACTGGTATGTTATTTGTTCCAGACCGGAGTGTTCTCTAACACGGTTGTCCTACAACATCATAGCGTGGTCATGACGAAAGCCGACAAAATTTACAAAGTCAAATGTACCTACGACATGTCCTCGAAGAACATAACATTTGGAATGATGCCTATCAGGTAATAGCAGTAGTTTTTTTGTAGTATGTACACTTAGAGACAACCTCATGCTGGTTATCCTAATCAGTAGTAAAAAAGTGTACATTATTTTTAAACACATAATTGGACATTCGTTATTTTTGTGCATAAAAGTTTTGTTTTCAAAAGCATTCTACTTTTAGCGAAAGCTATTCGACTTCAATAAACTTTATTATTACTTTCAAAATGGCGACTGCCAAATTAACTGAAACTAGACTACCGTAACGTGCCACTATTAAATTAAATGCATATCCTCCATACCGTACAGTCTACGGTGTTTACCGTGAGGCTCCAGGAAATTAGTGATTCGCGTTCTATTTAAGAACTCGTGTATAGTTACCTACGTGGAACCGTTTTATGGACCTTTATACGGTTAACCCGTTTTCATGGCTACCTTCTGCTAATTACTTACACGCCGAGCGCGTCCGTTTTAGCTTAACGGCTAACTAACATACTAATATACCTTGATGAGTAATTAAATGTACCTTAAATGTAACACAACGAATATTAGGTACAGATAATTATTGTTACACAGGCGATTACATGTTTTTACAATGTCGTTTTTTTGTGTCCGACTTAAACAGGGACCCGGAAATGATAAGCATCACTTCCGCGCCGGAAGCACCACCTCCCAGGATTCGCATATTGGATTCCAGGGCCAGGGAAGTGGAGACGGTGCGCATCGGCGACAAACTGACTTTCAGGATTGAAATACCCGAAGACAGTGAGTATACACGCACTACACGGGTTTCTTCTCCTTCGTGCCGAGTGCATCCTTATTGCGCTACGGACATCTCATTTGCTCCAGACGCACACAGATTATCTGTTATTTTCCAACGGTCGACTACTTACTTAACAGCTGCAGGTGACGACGATATTTGTACGGTTTTTGTTTTTTCCAGCGCCATACGGTATATTCGCCAGGAGTTGCGTGGCCATGGCCAAGGACTCGAAGAGCACGTTCCAGATCATCGACGACGAAGGGTGCCCCGTCGATCCGACCATCTTTCCCGGATTTTCGCCCGAAGGCAACGCCCTGCAATCGATTTACGAAGCGTTCCGGTTCACAGAGTCGTACGGCGTGATATTCCAGTGCAACGTCAAGTACTGCCTGGGCCCGTGCGAACCGGTAATGCCCAAAACTATATCAACAGCGTTATTAACGATAACAGTATAATCGTGTACTCGCTAAGACACTCGACTTGCAGTCCTCGTTGACTTCATTAATAAACTACTGGTCTGATTGTGTGACTTTTTCGCGCAGGCCGTTTGCGAATGGGGTAGGGATTCCATCGAGTCCTGGGGTCGGCGCAAGAGGTCAGTGGGCACTCCCAACAACGAGACGTCCGAAAACAGCGAAGACATGACGCAGATAAGTCAAGAGATACTCGTGTTGGACTTTGGCGACGAGAAACAATCGCAGTTCTTGAAGAGCAACGAGCCTTCGTCCACCGACTTCAACAAAGGTAAAGTTGTCGTCGATCACTACGATTTGGGTTTATTAAGTTAATCGCTGTAGAACTTATCGCCACACGCGCACAAAATGAAGCCCTAGATCTGTGTAGAACATACAGGTTCCCCTATCCGGAAATCCTATTATAGAGGAGTACAGAAGGTTATGAACCTTCTTTTCTTTATAAATTATTGTTCAATCTCCATATTATATAGACATTTACTATAGTCAAAACCGGAATAATAGACTCCGATGGTCCCAGGGCTGGGCTTCTAAGACTTGCTGGGCCCTAAAGCTTAAGTCCCTCTTAGCCCCTCTCCCATTTTCCGTCCCTATGCAATAAGTTCAATTCGTTGCTCTAAGTATACAATTCAACGTTGTGATTAATACAGATCGGGTAATAATTGAAATTGTTTTACTTATGTGCGTTTTTAGACAAGACAATCACCATCGTGGAACCGTGCCCGACCAAAACGTCCGTACTCGCTTTGGGCATCACGTGCATGTTGCTCATATTAATATACGTCAGCACGATGTTCTGTTATTACATGAAGAAATGGATGACTCCCCGGAAAATGATGGCATAGTAAAATATCGTATCCTACGTGAAATATGTTAATGATATGCCTCATCTTGTCAAGAAAAGCCATGATGGTTAATATTATCCATTACAAAAAAATAAAAATAAAACAACACTATAAAAATAATAAATTTTAAAAAAATACATCCTATGTATTTGTGGCTACCCCGCAACCCGTTATATAATTTAATTTAAAAAAATTAATACCACCCCGTTTGTCGATTATTTGATGTACTTACTTTTGATTATAAACTTTCATAAACGATACCAACGCTCATCAATTTAGGTGTAAAAGGTATAGTAATAATTATAATTATAATGTAATAATAATAATTTATGTCGTGTACGAAACGATGAAAGTACGTACCTAGCTTATGTAAATTTTAAATATAATCACTTTGCATTTTGTACATACATTTTAGGCTAATTCACATTATAAGTGTAAGTTTGATTTTGTGCCTATTAGATAACGCACATTTCCCATAAAATGCATTAGGTACTGACTCTTGCAGTTAAAATTTTATTTTTTAAATTTATGTTTGTCATACATTCATTATGTGATACTTTATATGTTTGTGTGTGCGTTAAGTGTACTTGTCATGAAGATGAGAAACTTGATTTTTATAAAATAACGTACCTAAATTTAAATAATAAAAATAATTAAAAAAAAGACAAATCTTTTTAGGTAAAGTGTAGGGAATTCAATCAAATTAAGTTTTTCCTCTTCTTGATGAGTATTGCTTGATTTTTAAATGTAAAAATAAGTTATTAAGTGTTTTTCCTCTATTTAGGCGCTCTCTAAATGGCCTAATACTGATCATTAGTGCAATTTGTAGTAGAAAGCGTTTATTCATTTACCCCTCCCTCTTCTTCCTCCTCAATAAAATGCTAATAATATTAATAATTATATGTATTTTATACTTAATTTATTTTATGTAAGTATAGTTATGTATCCCTAAATTATTTATATTATTATAGATTTATTTATTACAGCCGTATTATATGTAATGTCTTAAAAAGAATTTGATAATATAGAAAATATAATTAAATACAAGAGATTTTTTTTTTATCAATGTAACATGTCCCTTATGAAAGTATAACATATTATTCATGACTTTAAGAGTATAAATATGTTAGTTTATTTAATAAAAAGAACATATTTTCACAAACTAATGAATAAAGTTTTGATAAAAATATTATTTTACAACTATGTGTTTTCCTAATTATCAGTGTATCACAGACAAATTTTATTACTAAAACTTTAATACCATACACTTCCAAATATGTTTGATACATATTTTTAATAAAAATACTTTTAGCTTCGATGCAAAGCGAGAAGGTATTGGTTTTACTCTGATGTGGGCTTTTTTTTTCGCTGTATACACTGTAACTTTTTTAATACTAGACCAATTCCTTCGAATAGCAATTCTATAAATCACAAATTTTATCTAGTTTGTACTTTGAGGGGGTAAAAGTTGAAAAAGTTTAAGTCTTCACAGACGAAATTTGAAAAAACAAAAAAAAAAACCGTACGAGTTTTTAAGTTAGAACTTTTATTGGCTATAATTTCGAGAAAAAGAGTCGGATCGAGTTGAAACGTATAAGAAATAATTATTTGGTATGCCCGCACACGACAGTTGTGTCAAATTTAAACTATACCCATTTCCCACCCCCCTAGGGGGGTCCAAGTTTTTTTGTTTTTTGGGGTTTTTAGCCGTAATTTTAAAACTTTTGGGTTGAAAATTTGCCAGTAGTTGGAACTCATATGTATCCATAACATATTAAGCGGGTGAAAAATTCGGCACTACAGTTTTTTTTTAATTGCTGGAAAACCGTGTTTTCGCACATTGCGTATATTTTAACAAAAACACCTAAAATCTTTAAAACAAATTTATCAAATCATTAAAACAATTTTATGTATATCTATGCAGAATGATACTATTAAGTTTTGTGCCCAATTACCACTTTTGACTTTAAGTTTACACAAATTCAACTTTTTTTTTTTTTTCCGGAAGTTCTTTCCGGATGATTAAAATTGAGAACTGATATTAAATTCGTAATCACCGCCCCAAAAAAAATAGTACAGTGGGGTCGGGGCATAGTAGAGACGGGGAGGTCACAGGTTTACAGGAATTTTTAAATCTGAAAGTGATAAAATCACTTTCGAAAAAACGCTTCGATGCAAATCGATAGTTAGTATTTTCAAGCCAGTACAGTCCAAACCAAGCACAGTATAAACCAGCAAAGTTAGAAAGTATTAAATTGACGTTCTGTATTTACAAATAAGCATCAAAGCGTTTATTTGAAAGTGATTTTATACAAGAGGACTAGTACAGTAGAGTATAGGTATAATGGAATCAAAGCAACGAGGGGACGGAGAGGTCACAGGTCTAGAGGAATTATTATAAAAAAAGTGATAAAATTGAATATGCTCTTTAGTCTATTTTTTTACAACACAATATTTGTAAAACTGTTTAAATATGTACACAAATTTTGTACAACAATATTATGCATTTAATTTGCAATGTACACTGTTCAGTAACGTTTCAACTTACTTGGAATTTATTATACCGTTGAGATTTACATGATCTCTTGTCGCGGTTTCCACAGCCTTCTGTGGAATATTTTGCTTAGATCTTTCAACGAAATTAAGCGCATTTCCAATCAAATTGATTTATTGTCATCAAACGATTTTTGTATAGCATCGATTTTTTTCATACGGATCTCTAAAATCTATTTGTTGCGCAAGTAATCTAAAAACAGACAATTTACTCTATAGTTATAAGAAGTACCAATTTGTGATTTTCTTTTAATGATGTTTGGTTAATGCCTAACCAGTATGCGTGGATAATTAAGCCCAAAGTTAGTTTTTGAGAGTCTTGATATGTTTTTGACAAATCTTGATACTGTTGGTAGGATTCTAGGTAATTTTCTAGTTGTAATATTGTGTCGTTGGTATTTTGTCTTTGTAAAAACCAGCCTTTAAATCATAATTTTCACTTATTTTTACATCTATAGTGTTTAACCAATATTCAAGTACAGTCGTAGGTTCAGGGCCGTATTTAGGAATTTGTCACCCTGGGGCAACAAAAAAAACGCCTTATTATAATATAATACAAATTTAATGCAATATAATAAAATTTAGCCGCCCTCTAATAATCAGCGCCCGGGGCAACAGCCCCCTGTTGTCCCCTCCTAAATACGGCCCTGCGTAGCTTCGTCGTTTTCTTTCCATATGGTAAGCTATCTTGTCTGTAAGGATTTAATGTGTGCTATAAACTTTTTTCATTTTCGTATTTGGACGTACATGGGATTATATTTAATTTGAAAAACTAGTTAAATGTATACGGTTCTTTTTTAGTTTCATAAGATATCCTCTTTAATTTTTACTTCTGACTGAAAAAACTTGTATGATGTTACTGTGGCATCAAATTGTCGTTAAGGTAAATATTGATTATGTATTAATCATTTTGTGTGATTTTGATTTTTATTTAATATTTGACGTCAGTATAATTCTATAATTTTTCAGTACAATGTTAAAATATGTGAACTGGAAGATGGTGGCTGGAGGAGCGGCGGTGTTTGGAGCCGGCGCAATAGGCGGGTGGTATTACCACCGATGGTATTCGGTAAGTACAAATTAAACAGCATCTGACACCGGCTTTATACAATTTTGATCTATTAAAAATTTGTCTCTGTCTCTGAAAGTTGCGATTTTCTCAAAACGAATGCCGCTTAAAAATTCGAAATTAATGGAGGGTGGCAAATTATGCAAGCTGTCCCGACCCGGCGTTTCCCGGGTATATATGTATTAGACATGGTCATGTATTAGACAAACAATCAGCCGTATCCCTGTGGTATGAAAAATGGCACCGTAGATAGATCTACGGTGTAATTTTTCATAACTATTGATACTATCGATAATCATATTAAATTAAAAAAAATTGGGGTGGACCACCCTTATCACTTAGGGGTATGAAAAATAGTTAACGTCCTATTGTCAGATCTACTGAATATACACACAAAAATTCATAAGAATCGGTCTAGCCGTTTCGGAGAAGTTTTGTTACAAACACTGTGACACGAGAATTTTATATATTATATAGATTGTTACTAATGACCCAAAGAATTATAAACCGATGTCATTATTATCAGTGGTATATAAATTGTTTGAAAGAGTACTGTTAACAAGAGTTCAAAACACAAACCGAAGAGAATCTACCGAAGGAACAAGCAGGTTTCAGATCAGGAAAAAGTTGTTGTGAGCAAGTTTTGTCACGCATGTAGAAAACGGATTTCAGAAGAAAATAAAATCAGAGGCGGGTTTCCTCGACCTAACGAAAACTGAACTTAGAGGCTCAGGGAGTTAATATACAATGAGAAGGCTCTCCGAAATACCTGGAATTAAAGTTAGACAGGACTTTGACCTTCAAACAACATTTAGAAGGAGTAAAAAACAAAATAAAAACAAGAAGCAATATAATCAGTAAGCTAGCCGGAACAAGCTGGTAGTGTAGGGCAAATGACTTTCGCACTATTTGGTCTATCGACAGCACAACAGATAATCCGGAGGATTTGTGGAAGAAAATTTGGAGAGATGAAAATGTGGTTAATCGCCTCATCGTCAATGATCCGAATCAGAGAGGCCCAGGATTTGAACTCGTGTTGTGGACCGCTCAAAACCGGATCAGAACAGAGCAGGGAAATTGTAATTTCGTTTACAATAATTCGAAAATTGTAGATACACCACTCTGCGAGTGTGGACAGGTACAAAACATCAAACACGTTGCAGAGGTATGCCCCCTAACAGTGAGGCCCAAGATTGGCTAAGTAGCCTGGAAGCTCACCTTTAGAGCTAGATACGTGTGTTGCAGGCACTTTTTTCTATTTATATGTCTATTTAATAATTTATAATTTTATATATGTTAATTTCAGTTATTTATCTTTTTTATTTTTTTTTTAGCAATTAAGATTTGATTTGATTTGATGATGATTTATTTATTATTTCCAAACAGAACATACATAGTTTACAATACATGAGTAATAAAGGAAAAAGTTTGTCTCCAAAAGCCTGATGCTTGTGGAGGAGACAAGAGTTCATATCTCATGTCTTAAATTTATACATTTTTCTGTTTTCAATATTTAGATAATTTACAAATGAAAAATAACAGTATAATATACCAATATTATAAGAACAAATAAAAACAAAAAGAAGTAGATTGTAATAGTTAGTAAGTAAGTTAGCGTGTAAGCATACATTTTCAAAATGTTGACACTCGTAATTTATAGATGACATATTTTTTATATAACTTAACCCTTCACTGCATACTTTTTTTTTTTAACCATATGCTATAAATGTACTTAATACTACTTAAGAAAATAAAAATAAATTTGTTTTGAGTTTTGGTTTCATGGAAAACACGTGTGGGAAAATTCCAGAAGTAATTGATAAGTTAAATATATGTTCCAAAGAGTTGTTATGTGGTCAATAATTTGTTTTAAATATAATTTGTTAGGCCATTATCATAAAATGAAATGCTTCCCTTACGATTCGCAGACGAATATGTTTGGTTATTAAAAATGTATCACGTGGTGTTGCGGAAAAGTACGCAAGCTGTTAACATATAATATGTAATACCTATGTGTTTTTGTGACAGTTTTTTTCGATTTATTTGCCAAAGTAATATACTACCCCCACTCCCATTCCAACCCCTACCCCTAACCCCAAATCCATTCACACCCCACCCCTACCCCATCCCTCATCATTTATCTCTAATCTCTTATCGGTTATGTGCCAGAAATAAGACATAAAAATGTAAGTATAATAATGTTTTTTTTTCCAAAACAGTCGGCAGTGACATCGACCTCCACACCGGCAACGAATTCTGGGACCACCCCTCAACCGGCTAAGATTACGGCTACCTATTCCGGGACTTCTCAACCGGATAAGACTACGGCCACGGATTCTGGGACCGCCCTTCAACCAGCCATGAGTAGGGCAATGCATTCGTGGACCGCCCCTCAACCGGATAAGACTACGGCAACGGATTCTGGGACCACCCCTCAACCGGCTAAGATTACGGCCACCTATTCCGGGACTTCTCAACCGGATAAGACTACGGCAACGGATTCTGGAATCGCCCCTCATCCGGCCAACCGGATAAGACTACGGCAACGGATTCTGGAACGCGCCTAAACCGGCTAAGAGTACGGCCACGTATTCGGGACTTTTCAACCGGATAAGACTACGGCCACGTATTCCGGGCACCCTCAACCGGATAAGCTACGGCAACGGATTCTGGGACCGCCCTCAACCGGCCATGAGTACAGCAATGCATTGTGGACGCCCTCAAGGATAAGATACGGCAACGGATTCTAGGCGCCCTCAACCGGCTAGAGTACGGCCAGTATTCCGGACTTCTCAACTGGCTAAGACTACGGCAACGGATTCTGGAAACGCCCTCAACGGCTATGAGTACGGCCACGTATTCCGGGACTGCTCAACCGGATAAGACTACAGACGGATTCTGGGACCACCCCTCAAACGGATAAGATCTGGCACGGATTCTGGGACGCCTCTAACCAGATGCGTACGGCAAGGCATTCGTGGACCGCCTCAACGGATAAGACTCCGGCAATGCATTCTAGGACCGCCCTACCCGGATAAGCCTTCGGCAACGGATTTGGAACCGCCCTCAACCGGCTAAGAGTACGGCCTCGTATTCCGGGACTTCTCAACGGATAAGATTCGGCAACGGATTCTAACGCCTCTGCGGATAAGATACGGCAAACGGATTCTAGGACCGCCCCTCAACCGGCTAAGAGTACGGCCACGTATTCCGGGACTTCTCAACTGGATACGGATACGGCAACGGATTCTGGAACCGCCCTCAACCGGCTAAGAGTACGGCTACGTATTCCGGGACTGCTCAACGGATAAGACTACGGCAACGGATTCTGGGACCGCCCCTCAACCGGATAAGACTACGGCCACGGATTCTGGGACCGCCTCTCAACCAGCCATGAGTACGGCAATGCATTCGTGGACCGCCCCTCAACCGGATAAGACTACGGCAACGGATTCTGGACCCCCTCAACCGGATAAGACTACGGCCACGGATTCTGGTACCGCCCCTCAACCGGCCATGAGATCGGCAATGCATTCTAGGACCGCCCCTCAACCGGATAAGCCTACGGCAACGGATTCTGGAACCGCCCCTCAACCGGCTAAGAGTACGGCCACGTATTCCGGGACTTCTCAACCGGATAAGACTACGGCAACGGATTCTGGGACCGCCCCTCAACCGGCCATGAGTGCAGATTGGAATGTAATTACTGTAGAAAATTTTCACATGTTTGTCCCAAACATTTACGATCGAGGGCAAACATTGAATTTTATTGTTGAGCAAATCGAGAAATGTAATCCGGAAACCCGGCGGAACGGACGAAAATACGGACTTATTTGTGCATGGAATCGTAGAGAAATAAAGTACCTAATACGTGGCCGGGGATACCGCCTAAAAAAAAATGAAACTTCGAGAAGAGAAGGGGAGGCGAGAAGATGATGAAGAATCATGATGTAAATTAATGTCATTTATATAGATTATCAAAATTTTGTGCAGCCTGACATAAATTAATAAGTAATATGCTTATATAATATTCACCTAGTGCATCAATAAAATCCTGGTGATTAACAAGAACTACTCTTCTTCGTTTATTGATCAGGTTCTGTTTTCCATTAACTCGCCATTTGACAGATAGTAAATCAGATATTTGTTGACCAAAATATGCAATTAATATGCATATAAAAAATGTATCTTAATAATGTTATTTTTATTTCGCAGTTATGTGTTTATTAAGGGTCCGAAACTCACATTTAAGAGCAACTATAGCTACTATATAATTATATAGTATTTTTAATAGTAAGGAGTTAAAAAAAAAAAATCACAAAAGCAAAATTCATCATTATTAGCTGTGTTCTTTGTATTTATGTGGGTTGAAAACCTTTTATGGAGATTTTAAAAATTGTGTTTTTTTAATAATAGTATAGGAGCAGTATCATAAAGTAAAATGTTCACGAGATTTGATCCAGTCATAAAATAAAGAATTATCATTCATGACTTTTAATTATTATTAAAATACAGGGTGATTTTTTTATAACGAGCCACTCAATATCTCATATCTCATAGGGTTTAATAAGAAATTACAATATATTTTTTTTCATATTGTTTTTTTACAATGTGATCTCAATTTTTCACATTTTTTTTTGTTTTTACCCCTCTCCCAACTTATTTTTTTTGATAGCAACTTTTGAAACTTAAATGGTAACGTATATATTTTATTAACATATTTTATCCAAGAGGCCTAGTACAGTAGAATCTTTATTCTAATATATTTTCCATTATGCCTATGCATAATGCGAACGGGCGCGGTGGCACAGGCACGCAAGGCACTCATAACGCTTTGAGAATATCGTCGACACGTACGCCAGCCACAGAAACTTCATAAATATATTTTGCAGTGATTAAAATTTCTTGTACTCAACATTTGTATTAAATATGAGTCTGACAAATTGAGTTTTCACACAGAATACGTAGCTAAGTATATAATTATTACATTTGATAAAAAGACAGTTTTGAAAAATCGGTGAACTAAGTCGTTTTTGAAATGGCCGATTCAATTTAATACTTTCTAACTTTGCTAGCTTACACTGTGCTTGGTTTAGATTGTACTGCCTTGAAAATACTAACTACCGATTTGCATCGAAGCGTTTTTTCGAAAGTGATTTTATCACTTTCAGATTTAAAAATTCCTATAAACCTGTGACCTCCCCGTCCCCACTATGCCCCGACCCCACTGTACTGGTTTTTTTGATAAGCTATTAATAATTTACTTAGAAAAGGAAGATATTTGTAGAATTGAACATATTGTGGTTAAAAAACTTGAAGTTGTTTATATGTTTGTAGCTTAATTAGTAATAAGCCTATTTTTAAATTACTCCCAAGACAATGATGACTATGGTAAATGATATTGTATAATATAATTAAAATTTTAATGAGTTATCAAACATTGTTCAAGAATTAAACATGTGTGACTCAGTGTAAGGCTTCAAACTTAAGGTATAAGATTCGACCACTTAAGCTTCATTTGGCTGATGTTAGAAAATAAATTACCAAGAAAAATACATGTATTCATAGGTAAGGGCGCTTGGCTGTGTTCATACAAAACAATAATATATTATAATAATATGAGGATATTTAAAAAAAAAAAAATGTTAATTGTTTTATTTATAAATCATACCAAATTAATTTAAAAAAAATACTAAAATTATATTTATGTAGCCAATGGATTTGCATGTATTGTTACATATTGTATCCTTACATCAGACAAAGGTTTGAAATTTTTTGTGTTAACTGGTAGTTTTTCGATCTCATCAATTGCTTCAAATCCATCGATAACTCTGAAAATATTGTACAATGATTAAGCATGAAATAGAACTGAAGGTTATAAAAAAAATAAGTTACCTTCCAAATATTGTGTATTTTAAATCTAAATTTGGCTGCGCTGCATATGTAATAAAAAATTGACTGGCATTCGTATTTGGTCCATTATTAGCCATTGAAACTACTCCTCTTTCTTTATGCTAAAACACAATTGCACAAATAATATAATATGAGCCGTCGCAAACAAAAGAGGTGTAACCCACGGAAGTTCAAAATTTAGTAATGAAAGGTTAAAATAGATATGCTATATGGTTTTCACGAGAACGTAAAAATTATCCTGCCCCCCAGTGGAGAACGAGTAAAGCAGGACATACCACTTTTACAGTTAACAGATTGAAGGTAAGATTATCGCCTGGCGGTGTTACTTCAGATTGTGTGAAAACGTAACTTTTATCTAAACATTATTTATTAAAATTGTATAATTAAAATACTTCAACCAAACATTACCATTATTTTTGTTTATAAAATTAAAGGTCACGTGGCTGAGTGGGTTATTCGACTATGAGTAATGCTCCCTATCGCTGGTTCAACACTAAGTCGCGGAAGGCTAATTTGTATAGTTAAAAGAAGTTGTCATTGCCCACTCCGACACGACTAATCCCAAAAAGAAACAGTCAAGTAACTTTTGAAAATGAATATATTATGTGCTTTTATTTAGAGAAAAAAAATACAGTTAAATGGAGAAACCAGCTCAGCATAATTTTATTAGTTAATTTTCATTCAAAATAAAACATGTGTTTTATTTAATAACTAGAGCTGCATTTCGTCAAACAAATTCAGTTGCCATTTACTAATTTAGTATGGTTTTATCTTAATTCATCCGCTATTGCCTACTCACAGCTCCTTCCCTTAAATTTACCCGGTACATTTATATTTGCTGTACTTCCTCAAATGAACTATGTAATTAGTAATAATAAAATAACATACTTGCAACCCAAAACGTTAAATTCAAACATTTTATTTCAAGTTATGCTTGATTTAAAATGGTACATTGTAAGTTTGCAAAATATCTCACATAACTCATAAAAATATTTTATAGGCTATTTAAAATATTAGGGTACCTTTAAATTTTCTTTGAACTCATCTTCAAATTTTCTACCCCAAATTGATTGACCACCTTTGCCTGTATGTGTAGGATCACCAGTCTGTACAATAAAACCTTTAATGTTACGGTGGAACAAGGTGCCATTGTAATAATCGCTAGCACATAACGCCAAAAAATTCTAAACAAAAAGATATCAAAGTTTGGTATGTACTGAATTACAGAATACAAGATAAAAATTACCTCGGCTGTTTTAGGACATTCTTCACAAAATACTTCTATTTTTATATCACCAAGATCAGTGTGTAGCGTAACAGACTAATAAACAGAAGGAAAATATAATTAAACTATTTAGAATAAAAAAAATAAATTATATTACTTCAATATACTATTGGTCAAGTAAACAATTTGTAAACAAGAGACATTTTTTTTTTTAATAGAAGGAACTCATAATATTTGTAATTTATTTATTTATGTAGAATGTTAACATCTTGTAATTAAAAGTATTCAGTTCAAAATTAAAATTGTTAATTAATTCATTTAAAAAAATATCAAAAACATTCGTCTATTTGTTTACATTTACCCCACTTTACCATAATTAAACTTATTGTATAGTTTACTTATCAAATAGTGTTGTTATAATTACCATTTCAATTTTAAAATGTAACAAATTCTTAAGATGTACTACGGAACAAAAGTACTATCTAAAAAATTAGTAGGTAATTTAGTTTATCAACTATATTTTTCAGGAAATTACGTCATTAAAAGTTAATTAAAAACAATTTGATTGTCAATAGTTAAAGAATAAAAATAACGTTAAACGGTTTTTATAACTATTAATAATAATGGGTACATAATATATTAATATATATTAAAAAAGTGTCAATAGTCGATACTATGAATTATGATTTAAACTTTAAAGTTAAGACTGTATCAGTGCATTTGGTACTCGACTGTTCGCGGCATTGAGATTTGATAATTATTTATATTTATTATCACTAATCTATGTTTACCATAGACCAGGTTAGGTTAGGTCAGGTTAGGCATACTGAGAGGATAAGATTTTATAGTTTTGTGTTTCGGGCACGGTCTTGCAAATCAATTATGACCAGTTCTAAGCGTTGCCGTTAAGTTCCATGATGGCGGCAAGTGAGTATCACAAGTGATAATTAACGCACGTAAAACAAAAAACGTATTGGCTGTTCAATGCACTCGCGAGGCCGCCATATTGGAACCAAACGGCAACGCTTTTCCGTATACGTTTCCCAGTTCCCAGAACCGGGTTATAAGATCGTGGTTGGTCACGTTGATAAAATAAAAATTTGAGTTATCTATGGAAGAACGAATATCTCTTGTCGAATATGAATAGCAATTTGGCGGTATTTACTTTATTATTAATTAAGTTCCTAACCTATAAAATAATTTGGCTATATCTGTGTCAGACATAAATATTACAATAACAATATAATATATCTGTGGTGGCACAAGACACCGTGCAGATAGACACTCAGCGCTGCAGTGGACAACATCGCAAGCTATTTGTCCCGTAAGAAAGCATTGAAACATTTTTAATTGGCTTATTTATCATTTTTAAATTGATTGTCGTATACATTTGTGTAATGATCAAGATGTTTTATCATGTACAAAAATTGGATAAAACTATTCTTTTTATAACTGTAGCACTCGAGAAGAAGTTTTGTATTCTTCTACATACAATCGTTGCTTCAAACTAGTTTACAATTTCTCCACAACGGCGCGCCTTTTTTGATAGTATGCACGGTGTCATTGGTAAACGTGCTCAACGCTAAAGTGGTGAATGCTGTAAATGTTTTTGCCTCAGTAAGTGGCCATGTCATGTCGAGATGGTGAGAGGGGAGTGGAGGTAAGTGTAAACCGACCTTATCTTGGCTGGCGGCCTATCCTGATTGGCATTGGGCACCAAAGCGCTCCAAGCGGCAGTTCGGCCATGTGCCTTTTCTCAAGACGCGTTTCATAAACGGTTTACGCTTTTCCTTATCATTGCTCACTTTGCTCAGCGCTATATTTTTATGTAAGATAATATACGGTTTTCGTTCTATCACGTATCTATACAAAATTGAAAATATAACGTTCTGTGTTAAACGTGCCTATAACATTAATATCTTATTATATCATTATTCGACATGACGTGGTAAGTAAATTCAAATTGAATTATTGAGAATGATATTATCATGTTATTGTATAAATGGCCTGAGGTACGGACTACGGTTTTAAAACTCGATATGTCGCTGCTGACAGTTTTGTTTTTTTAGTTGCGACGGTTAATAATAATACTTTGAATGTAAATATTTACATCATGGAAAGGCGTGTTATTTTAAAAAAATTATTCGGCTCTTGTTGGGGGAAGAGAAGGAAGAAGATATATTTTTAATTCGTGAATTAAAATTTAAAAAATTGATAATATATGTACTAGTAGAAAAAGTGAAATTTTTCGCAATTTTAATTATTAGACATTTTATACAAATGTGTATAATGTATATTATGTCTCGTATATGTATTTACCATAGAAGATAACCATTCAAACAATGAATCATAATATGAGATATTAATTAATATATATTATTTTCTAATTGGCTGATATCAATCTATGATATTTTAGATTAGATGAAGAACATTTTTTAAATTTTGAATGAAAAATGTATTAAAAATCCACCAACATACAGCCCTCAGAAATATACAGGTTGGATAATAGGGTTTCCAATTCCTTACTTTGAGTAGTAAATCTGTAAAGAGTAAATTATGTATCCAGGTATATAGGTTTATAGTGTCCCCTTATACATTAGTTGTGTATTTAAAGATGTATTTGATTTGATTTTTAGATGTTTTGAACATGATGTCTCGTAAATCAGTGGATGAGAAAAATACCTTTGACCACAATATTGCAGTTATTGAAGATACAGACACATCAGCTGAAGATCAGATAAATGATGATAATATTCAATACAGATTTGTCTACTCAAATGGTATTGTTTTATATTTTCTTCAAAAAAAAAATTGTTATAGAATTTCAGTTCAGTATTATATTCAAAGTTTACACAGAGTCCCTCTGCCGTTACAAGAAAACCAATATTTCAAACAATAACACTTAAACTGAGCCAAATTGAATATTTAACTTTTTTATTGGAGTAAATTGGAAGTCTTAAATCCTCCCTTCCCCCTTAAGAACATTGTGAATGCTATAACATCACACTATTGTTTAGCATCATTATACATTTTTCAAACTCCTCCAACTAATGGTGTTTACATTTGGTATTTTGATAAATGTCTACTATATAAATGACTATTATAAAACTTAAATCTAATGATTGTATATTATTATAATAAATAATAATACAAGTTTAAGACTTCTTGCATTAAAATTATTAGAAATATCCATGCACATATGCACTTAAAATAACTGAAATATGCAGCTGAATATTATATTTTTGTTTAAGGATTGATTATAAGTCTAAAATGACAATAAAGTTAAAGTTGTACTTAAGTTTATCATTTTCTAAAAAAATACAATTTTAAAACACAATTCTACAACCATTTAACAGGTTTGGTCTCGCAAGGTCTGGTAGAGCCCTTTAAAAGTACGACCAATCAAATTTAAAAAAAATTGCAAATGCAAGAAGTCTAAAACTGTAATAATATTACAGTAATTTGTATTGATTTAAATACTTAACCATTATATTTGTTTCTTTAATATTATAAAATAAAACAATATTTGAATTTTAAGATGAAATAGAGGTTCATGAAATGGACACAGTTCAATTTCAATTTGTAGATGGATCTAGCAATATAGAGTATCATTCACCGGAGCCGAGTACATCAAATGTGACTAACTCTGGACAAAAATCAGGATCAAGAAATCAACATGGTCCACTAAGTCAGTAATAATACTTTTAATACAATATTTATCATAATAATAAAAATACCTACTAGTTTTTAAATTTTATCTCCTAAATTAACTATGATTTTAGCTATAAATTATATTTGCAGAAAAAATATTTGGATAAAATAGAAAATATGCCTGCCATTGTATTTGCATGTTAAATACTAATTTGAAAAATCTACAAAAAATGATTATGAAGTGGTATTGCCTCTAGTAGTACTTACTTTATTAAAGTTCATGTCATTGTGTTTTTTAATTTTTTCATTGTTATGAATTGTCTATTTATAAAAAAAAATTACTGAGTAAACCAAAATATTTTATTAAGGAAATTAATTAAATTCCATCTTGATCAGATATTTTTTCCATGGTTTCTATAAATAATGATTTAAAATTCTATTTATACGTTTCAGCTGAATGGAAACCAGAAGAAGTCAAACTGATGTTGAGCAATTATAAAAAATACATCACAGATGTAGGGAAAGACAAAACTTTTAAAAGCAAAAAAGAGATGTGGAATAATATTGCAAAAAATATTAGTGACACTTTTAATGTCACAAGAACACCAACACAGTGCATGACAAAGTAATTTTTTTAGTTTTATGTATAAACAATCCTGTAAAAAATGTTTTTAATAATAGTTTTATTATAAATTCTATATTTGTGGTGCAGAAAGCGAAAAAGGGATCTATTGTCAGCAATGTTCATTTCGAGAAAAACACCCAAAACATTCACAAACTTTAGCAGTGCAATAGCTTAAGTAATTTTTATAGCCTCAAAGATATACTCGGTCTCAAATTATTCCAAAATATATAAAGTTTCAGAAAACAGCGCTAACTCAATTTTGAAAAATGCCGACAAGTGGTCCCTTTTTGCTTTCCGCGTCAATAGTGTTATAAAATATATTTAAAAAAAATATAAAGCAACATGTTAATTTTTTTATTTAAACTTTTTTTATTTATGTTAATATTGTGTTTTGAACATTATTTTTTTTGGTTATTATTGAATATCAATTCTGATAAATTACTTATAACTAAATAATGAACAGTTTTTCATTTTTTCTTCAACTACAGATTTTTTTACAGATTCAAAACATTGAAAAAAGCTAAAAAATTAGGATCTGATGTAGAAACTACAATTAACGCAACTAAATTGCAAAATGAAATGGAAGCTATGGATACTATATTCAATGTTGTTATGGAGGATGTTGAGGCAGCTAGAATTAATGAAATAGAGACCCGTGGTCAAGAAACGAATAGTTCAGAATTAGAAGTATTAGCTCATATTTTACCTAAAACATTAATTGAACTAGCCAAAGTAAATGCCCGTGCACAAGAGCGCAGACACAGAGAACACATGGACTTCCTTAGGGGATTTGGTAAATATCGAGTTGTAACTAATGTTTAGTGTAATATAAATCTATTATTTTTTAATATAATAATTCCCTCGCTCTACTTTTTGTTTTGTAATCAAATGTGGCAATTATCTATTTTAATTAGGTTAAATATAACCATACTAATAAAATAATTACTTAATTACTAATATATTGACAATTATCAATATCAACGTACGAATTGTGGCACAAATAGTAAGGAGGAGGCGGGGGCTTTGAAAATTGACTACTTAGTATTTAGCTAGATGATATTATAATAAGTAGAATAAGACACTTTGCCCTTGAATAAATATATTGTTTAAACAAAATAATAATCTTTTTATTTGTACTATTTCAGAAAGTAGATACATGGAAATGCTGGACAAAAAGTTAAAATAAGACATTTTACTCCTATTTAAAAAACTAAATACATTATTAATAAATAAATAATATTTTATAAGTAAAAAAATTTGTTCATTAAAAATAAGTTTTGACTGTTTATATTTTTGAATAAGTGAAATTTTATGTATATCTAATATATTATATTGTTAAATAGAATTTTGTTTATTACTACAATCTATCTTTCTTTTCCTTCCCTCCAAAATCATATTCGGCTATTCGAATCTAATTTTTGAATTTTTTCAATTTCCACTCCTCTGATCAATTATTTATTTATTCTAAGCTTTCTGCTAGAGCCTACCAACACTACCACATTATTCGTTTACGATTTCACGTCGACATTAACATCAACATACTACATATTAATAATCTTTAACTCAATTTAAGATCCAGTTTTAAAATCATTCGTATTTTTGGAAAATTTTAAGAATATACTGTATTAAACACAATCGCATGTTTTCTGTACAAAAATACGCATCTATATATTTTTTTAAACGATAATTTGATACAAATCCAAAGTTTTTATTATAAATGATATAATTGAAATGACTAATTTGTCGCTTTGACAAACCACAAATGTACCTACTAGTTATTACAGCAAAATATTAATATTATTATTTATTACCGCACTGGTGCTCGAATTGGAATAATAAAAGTTAAGGCTCGTTTTTACTTTTAAAAAATTAGTGTACCGTGCATTTTATTACCCCTAAAAAAACCACTGCTTATAAAAATTATTAGGGGTACGCTACGATTTCTGAAAAAATAGTTGGGTAGTACTAATTCCCTTCCCTAATTCAAGCACTGATCATTACTGTGATTTCATATTAATTTGTTCAAAAATGTAAAAAAAAAAACCTTGCAAATTATTATTAGGTAATAGTTAATTTAGTACCATAAAATTTGTGTTCAAAATTATTTTTTGTTTCTTAATAGTCAAGTACCTAATTTTACGGCAAAGTTGTTTAAAAAGAAAAGGCTGAGCTATTGAAAATATAATTTTGTAAAACACTCATATTAATGTTATAATTTTTTATCTAACAATTAGACAAGTAAACACAAAGTTATCGTTTATTTTATTGATTATTTATCAAATGACAAATTCGTATATGTTTATGTAAAATGATTCTATAATTTGTTATTTGTGAAATATAAATATATTTTTATTTTATTTTATTGTTGTTTATTTATTTTGTGTTAAATATATCTTTTGCGTATTGATTTTTTAGATATAAAAATGATCTAAGAAAAAAAATATTCAATGGCAAAACTTGGGCAATTTGTTTAGATTATACCAATTAATTTAGCCTATAGCATATAGCCTACTGCTATACATACAATATTTATGCAAGTTTTAAAAAATAATGTTTAACGAACATTTTTTTACACGTGTTTTAGTTATATATTTTTGTGCTGAAAAACGATTTTACGAGAATAGGAATGACACCTCTTGAGAGTAATTGGATTTTGATTATTTTTTAGTTGATAACAGTGAATTCTTTCATTAAAAATGTATTTGGAAATAAATTATACTTGGACGTTTTAATTGAATTAAAATTAAACAGTTTCTTTAATTTTGTGTTTTTTTTTTTTTTTGTATGAAGACACGATGACTTTTTTCCATGTGGATCGATATACTTGAGTGTCATCTCCATTGATCCGTAATCGTATGTGATTGGTTGTTTGGTGGGTCAAAAGCAGAAAAAGTCAAATCTTTCACCCCCATAACTGGAAAAAACAGAAAACAAATTTGACCGGTTTTCAACTTAGATTCGCTAAGCTTAGCGATAAACATTTTTTGGGCACGCCCCTTATCCAGAAATTGCTTCAAACCCCAAACAATTAAAAATTGCTTCGAAAATTAAGTGCTGGTTTAGAAAAATGCTATTTATTTTTTTTAGTCATACAGAACCAATGAGGGGAACTATTAGTCACAACCATTTATTTTCATCGAATATTGAACCAAGTTATACGATGGTGGAGTCATTTTAAAAATTAAATTTTTGTTTACGTTTTCCTTCTACACATAAATTAATATTTAAATTGTAAATAGACGTCAAAATCTGATAGGCCAAGTATTAAAGAATAATTAACTTGTTTTAAATTAGTAAATCCTGGTTTAAACCGTATTTTTTGCTAGAAATGTATCTTTCAGATTTTTCGCCTCTATATGTCTATATATCGGCCATGGTAATTTTTCTTTTTACCAGACTATTAGGTAATGCTTAGTAGTACTTGTATATTTTATTTTAAATTGAATAATCTTTTCATCGATATAGTGCATTACATTTAATTTCCGTTTCACGTCCTAAAAATGAGTTGTTTTTTTTTTTTGGTCGTTTCAGTGCAACCGTTTTTAACATAACGTTTAAAATAAATAAAGTAGGTATTTAATTTTTAATAATCTTATATAAATAATTATAAGATAAATAATGCCGAAAGTAGGTATTTACAAAAATATATGTATATTAGTTTTATAACAGCTAATACAACTAGTTTCGGCGCTTGCCGCTTGGACCCTTGGCCGACATTTAGTTACATAATGAATGATAAAACAATTTTTAACTGAAAAAATAAATATATTTTAACAAAGAAAATACAAATACTATACATTTTATGGAAACTATAATAAACGATGATCTGTGCTAGTATATAGTACGGTAAATAGTTTACAAAATCATATTTTTTTAATGAATATTTTATAAATTGTTTACCATAGATGCTCTTTGTTACTAATATACTATACTACTGAATATATTTTAATTTGTTAATATTATTATTATTTTGTTATTATAAATACCTATGTTTTATTATTCATTTTGTAACCTGATGATGGCCAAGCGCCAAGCACTGTGTTTAGTTAGTAGACAATTATTGTTTTTATAAATATTCTCGGCATTATTTTACATTTTATGGTTATTTGTAAAAATTAAAACAACTCTGATTAGTGTATAATATACTATGCGCATAAAATTATCATGAATGCGGATGTTTCTGATCTACTGGACAGTGCTATAGTATTACAGATGTGTATATTAGATGTAAATAAATAACATTTTAATTTCCTCAAGTATTATGTAAACATCGGCGTGGTAACGTACAGGTTGCTCGTGTTTGGTAGGCGTTATGATGCACATTGCACAGTTCTATCTGTTCGAAAGTGTTATGTAACTGTCGTGCATATATTATGCTCATATTAAATTTTTCACACAATAATATCGATAACATACAATAATGCTTATATAACGTTCGATTAATTTTGGTAGCGTCGGTAAACTTTGTCTTTGAAATCAATATATTACGCACATGGTGCAATTATAGAATAAATATATTCTGTGGTTCAATAATGTCCACCGAGATAACAGCATAGACCGTTAATGATAATTACTTCTTAATATGAAAAATTATTTATATTTTTTGTAGATACTATATAATTATACCTACAGCGACAATACACATTTGACAAATTGTTACTCGTTTTAACATTTAACTCCTTAGCAAAAATGACTCACTTATAATATATAGGTACGTTTCAAATTCTCAATATTACCGAGTTTTTTCTCTAAGTACAAATTATTAATTCAAATCATATAATTCATCCTCAATATATTTTTACATGTCGTAAGGACTTATCAATATCTAGAATAATTATCGAGGATTCGAGACGCCTATGGATGGAAAATGTTGTTGATTTAACATGACCCTATTATAATATCGGGAAAAAAATACGTGAAATTAATGACGGGTATTGCCCGTTTTTAATGGTATTCTTACACTATATTATGCTATACCATTGTTTAATATCAGTATTTTATCCTAATTTATGATGATAATAATAATCGTTATTATTATTATTATTATTATATTACCTATTATGCAACAATATTATGCTGTATATTGCATGGATCAGTCAACAACAGCCGACGAGAGCTGCGGTATTCGGTAATACGGTCTGCACTCACATTAATTTTTTATTCCACAAGAGTGCACACTGGTCGGGCGGATCACTGGTCCGTATGTTATTTTTTACCACTATTATTATTATTTCGTTTTTTTTTTTATCAATTATTGTACACAACAATTATTGTCAATTACATTACATCCGAGCCAGCGAACGAAAACGATACGACTCTGTGTTTCGGGATTATTGTCGTTACCTAATTAACGTCGGATTTTTCCGCTTTATAATTACATGCTGTACGGTAGATCAAGTGTAATTTTACGCGGGCTACTTGTGTTGTCTATTATATTAATAATATCTCCTATGATATACGTTTGCAAACAAAACGTGTACAACGGACGCGAACGGTTTTGGTGACGAAAATATATTTATCAGCGGTATTTCATTTGTTGTTGGTCAATAAGTGCATGTGATTTTTAAAATTTTTATTTTTTTTATATTACGTATGAATATCATGTCGAATCGCGTTGACTTGTAATCGTTATCGGTAGTGTTCCAAATCCATCCAGTTTACCGTAAGCTCACAATCTGGTCGTAGCCACACAGGTCATCTTAACTGGGACCTATGTGCCCAGAAAGACATGGACGTGTCAAACAATTACAAACCCTGCCTGTGTAAACTGGACGAAGATGGTTGTGTTTCGCTCATCGACATTATTAAGTCGTTCAACACCCCCGTCAGTGAAGAACACGCGTGGGCTTTGTGCTATCAGTGCGCAAAGTGTTTTAAATATGCTTTCGAACGAGAACCCAACAAATGTCGAGTAGTTAGAAGCCTGGAAGAAGTTCGTATACACAAGGATGGTTACATACATCCGAGCACAATTATTAGAACTAATGAAACAGGTATGTGAAAAGATATCAGGATAATGTACAATTTTTTTACAAGTGGATTGAGCTTTTTTCTATTGGTACTGTACAAAAACTATTCCATAGTGTAGTACAAATACTAATAGTTTATTTCTATATTTTCCATGAAAGTGTTTTCATGTGCTTGCGATCCGTTGAGGAAGTAATTTTTATTGTGCAGTCTTATAAAATTATAACATGTTTTGTTTTATATAGTATCATATCTAAACATAACGTAATTAGTTTTTATCTAGTCTGTGGAGGTCACTTTTATACAACAAAAATTGTTTCAAAAATTTTAGAAATAAATACAAATTTATAGTCAAATTCAAATACGCTTATCGTAAAGTTCATATTCATAGTAAAAAGCTTAAAAATTAATTAAATTAATTTCTAGACTTTAACTTATAAAGTTGAGGATGTATGGATAAGCAATTACCTTTAACACACCATTAAATACATCCAAGTTTAGATACTTAATAATAGTTGTATTATAAACTATACAATTGATAATATAATTTTAATTTTTAGATATAAGCTATATACACTGTGTAAGCAATATTTTTCAGTGAAACTAATTAATTACTTTTTAAATAAAAGCATAAAATATAATGTTGCTGTTACAAAAAAGGTTAAATTTTACCATAATATGGTGCAATCATTTTAATTTTAAAATTATATAATTTTTTAATAATTATTCCTAAAAATAAATTATAAGATCAATAACTGTTTATAATTATTTTAGGATATTTTAAAACGAAAATACACATAAATAATACATACAATAGTGAAATAAATATAATATTCATTTTGTCATAATGGTTCATTGTATATTACATGTAAAATGCATAATTATAGGTAAAATAGGTAAATTGCATACATATTTTTAATATACCTATTATAATTCATACTCCTAGTATTACTTAATATATGTTTGTTATTTACATTACATTTAAATTTATACACGCATCTACTCAAAATGGCTTTGATCTCATGACCTGGTTTAATACTTGTTTCTATGAATTTTGATCACTAGTTAACAATTAAAATAATAAAAATGTATTGTTTTAATGATTTATAATAATATTTTATTAATTTGTTTTAAGCAACCGTTTGTCATATACCGGTGTTCATCTTAAGATAGTAATAGTTCTTCTTCTTTCCACTTTTTCATCATTAATCTACTAGTCTATTATAAAATCACTGAACTCAATTTTACTTAGCAAAACAGATTTCTTTTATTGTAAAAATCGCCAAAATAAAATTGTTTTCTAGAAGTATCGTTGTTGGACTGTCAATATTAAATAAGGTCATTATAATTTGGATGACCTTATACAACAGTATCCGTATTACTAGGCATTCAGTTTTTTTTTTATATACAGAACCAATGAGGGGGTACTGTTGGTTACATGACTTCCCTTCATTAGTCATCGTTTATTTACATAGATATAAATACAGACTTCTGTAAAATCTCCTTTACCTCTATGAAGGGGTGAAGAGGCTCACATCGCATATCATGCTCTATACAATTGCAGTTATCAAATTAATATGATACTCTTCCTCATAATAGTCGCTTCTGCTCTCTTTTGTCTTATTAGATTTACCTTGTTATATCAAAGCTCCTCAGAAAACCTTACTAAAAAACATATAGTTAATTAATGCCAACGACAAACAACACTTCAGTTCAGATAAACTAAGGGCTAAAGTTTTGTTTTTTTGCTTAAAATATTAAACATTTTCTAAGGAACGTCAATGTAATGTACACATTTCATTTTATTGTAGTTTGTATCAATAAAAAAATAACTTGTTGTAATTATTTAAGTATTAAATATTTAATTTTGTGTTTCAGTTGAATCTCACGATAATTCAGAAAAATTTGGCAATGACGACAGTAAAACTGTACTTAAACATCATGTAAGTTTATTTATATTTTTAATGAATTTAAATATAATTTTGTTTTATACATATTATATTAAAAACTTTTAATGCCTAAACAAAAAAAAACATTTATGTATTAAACTTGCGTTAATATGGTAACTAAACCACTTCATGAACTTGTTTATTTACAAGCAAATTTAGCCAAGACCAACAATATCATAATTTGTTTCTGGTAAAAGGCTAGTTCCTTTTTTATATGATATATTTTTGTACAAAATTACTTAAAACACAATATGATTATATAGGAAATAAGTAGTAAATTCGTACTAGTAGGTTAATAATGTTGGTTTTTATTTCTAAAAAAAAAAAATTAACATATCATGAGAAAAAAAAAGAATGTATTGTTGAAATGATTAGTTTTACTTTTTAACAAGAACATAGTTATAATTAGTTTAATTTTCTCATTTTCGTGTTATTATATATATAAGTGAGTATTTATCTACATTCATTGTTCAGTACATAATTTTTACATGTTTCTTTAAAGTTCACATAATATAAAAACTAAAACTTAATTATAATTTAAATTTGTATTATAACTACTATTAAAGTATAAAAATATTTCATACTACTTACAGGCTAACATTAGATTCTTATTTTGCATTAACAATAAAGTTTATACTAATTTTTTAAAATTTTTTTTTTTAGGTGATTGCTAGTTTGGGGTACATAGTTTTTCAAATTCTAGATTTTGGTATTGATAATGATGAAGAAAGATCATTAAATCCAGAGTTAGAATCGCTGATTAAAAGAATGGTGGATACATGTAAGTGGTTAATAGTACATAATTATATTTGACATTCTTATTAGTAGTTTATCGTTTAATCTACTTCAATAATGATATTTGTTTTAAGATTATAATTGATAGTTTTGTACTTCAGTAGGCTTGTTCACACTTGAGTGGAAACACTTAAATAAAAATAAATAGTAGTATACTTTCTATTAACAGATTGATACTAGAGTGGTGTTTGTTACCAAATCGTTTTTGTTTGTTAACCTTAAGAATCCACTACCTAATATGGATAGTGCTACTTCAAGTTGTAGTTTTTCTGGAAAACAGTTTATATGGGAATTTCTTTTTTTTTTAATAAATTAGGTCAATGAACTATGAATAACATAATTACTTAAAAAGTAAATCATTTAGTTTTGCATTTGTGGTAGAAAATGGATTTCTATCTATAAAAAACATTAAAACTAGCTGCCTGTCAAAATAAAAGTAAAATTTTTACAGTCTCTAAACTTATTAGTTATGTCATTTGAATTAATTCATAATTATTGTTAGAAAGTAATTTCATAATAAGATTTGTTATTTGATATCTTTGAAACAAATACACATTTTTAGCTTTGATGGGAAACAGAGAAACACAATCACAGTTATTATTTTATTTTTAGTAAAATTAAAACTAAGGATTAGCATAAATCGATATCCAATATCGACCATATTATTTTGAAAAATGCTTAGTATCAATCTAGGCATTTGTGAAAACAAATGTTTAAACAACATTGTCATATGCTTAGTTATAACATAGTTATTGGTACCAAAGTTTAAAAAATCAGATTATAGGCATTGGAAAAACGGTACCGGATCATACCTAAATAAGGAACAATTTTATTTACCTACGTGTTTTTTACTTTCATATTTTTTATGTGCATAACTCTCATTATAGTTTTTAATTTCTATACTGTATTTATGATTTTATAATAATTTTTTACAACCATAAAAAATATTACTATTTAGAATGTGTTGGTTATAGAAGCTGATGAATGTAGATATACATTTTTAATTATAATTTATTTATATTTGTATAATTTTCAGTTGAATATGGTTGTAATGCTCAGTCTATGGATCATGGCCAATCGGGTGAAACTGATGATGAAGGAATTGAAAGAGATTCGGCTGAATGTGAAGAATTATTACAAAATAATTTTGCCACCTTTGATGATGTTTTAGAGGTAAACTAGTTATTGCGTATCTCGAAATATTTTTTTTCTATTTTCACAAAAACTAATAAACGAACATGTGAATTAAAATGTTTTCAGGAATGCAGTAGACATATCGGTGTAACAGGGTTAGGTTCTGAAATACATTATAAGGCGGTGTGTAGAGCTCTAGTTACAGAAGCGTTAGAACTGTCATCATTTTTGAATAAATTATCCGATGGCACAGTTTGTTTAAGGCACAGAAATTCTACCTCTTCTGAATTGAGTACATTGGATCACAATGATTGGGTATGTATAAGTAATAATATATGATACTTAGCATATTAGAATATTTATTTATTTTTAAGCATTTTAATGAACTTCGAGATTCCATATAATCAAATTTATATTTTTATTGCCTTGGTTAAAACTATTTGTCGTTTTTAAAAGCAAAAGGTTATAATCATGAAGTTTGTAAATTGGAAGTAGAAATTTGCTATTACTCGGATTTGATTTCTTATCTTAATGAAAATAAATTTTAACTACATATGACAAATGTAGAAAAGCAACTGTCATTGTACTTTATAACTGTGGTTTTTGGAAGTTCATTATGTGTTAACTGAAAATGTTTTCACAAAAAAATCTTTTTGGATTGCTTAGCTACCCAACTGCAGAAAGTGGAGTATTATGCAAGTATGTTTAGATTATTGTGTATACAAATGTTTTTTGTTTAGGTCGCAAAAGTATAAATATTTTAATCTCTATGTTAATGACTTGGGGAAATAAGTAGATGAGATTATAGTTTACGATATTATAATAAAACTCAAACATTTTGACAAGCTTATAAAAACAAAATAACATTAATTATGTTTGATGTTTGTTCTTTCTAAAATTAGTTATCACTTATCATTACATAACTTTTATTTTTAACATCATTTTTTTACTATAGGCTCGTTTATGGATACAACTAATACGAGAACTCCGACGTGGTGTCCAGCTTAAAAAAGTCGACCGAAGGCCACACCCGGGTAGTGAATTTGTAGAGTATGCGTTAACACCTTATGAAATGTTAATGGACGACATCAGATCCAGAAGGTATACTTTAAAAAGGGTCACACCCCCAGAGATACCGGCAAGAGTTCAAAGAGATGCTCACGATGCAATTCTTGATTTTATTCGATCTAGACCACCTTTAAAAAGTGTAAGTACTCCAATTGACAGTGAAGGATTCAGTTAAAATTGTATTAAGCCCTTTGCATGAATGTTCAACAAAAACGCAACTAAAAAGTTATTTCTGATAACAATATCCAATGACGTTGATTAATATCATTACGTAAATTATTATAATATTTTCTTATTGAAGAAATTAATGATTGAGGTCTGGTCGGCAGAATCAATTGATACATTTTATTACGCAACATATAATATGATCAATTGTTTTATAAAATGTATGTTTGATAAATATTGTTGTACATTGTGCAAGATGAGGTTAACTTATTTTAATTTTAGTACGCCGTTTACGTAACAACCTTGATATGAGATAAGTTTTACCTGTTTTCTGCTATCAGTTTTTATTAAATAATTCCTATACAATTTTCTGACTATTACATAATAGTCTATTATGAAGTTAGTATATTGTTTTTTTAATTTAATATTTTTTAATAATAATAATAATATTCTCAGTGCTCTCATACAATATTGTCAATATTACCGATTTTGTGTTTGTGTACAACATTTGATTAAAACATCAAATGAAGTATTTTAATAATTTTGTATATTTATATATATATATGTATATGTAAAAAAAACAATTGAGTGTAATTATTTAATTTTGTATTTAATTGAATACTAATCTTTAACACGTAGGCTGCTGAGAGAAAATTGGCTCCTCGGCGACAAGATAAACTTTCACCCAGGGAACATTTATTAGAATGCATTAAAAGTGGAAACGTAAAATTACGATCAACTCCATCTACTCCATTGTCAAGTGAGTATGACTGATATATTTATCAAATTTTTATTGATACAAGTACACATAAATACAGAATACTTATTGTTGGACACCTGAATCAATATATAATTAATTTATATAATTTTTTTTTAGAAAATTCATTCAAGAACGTTAAATCATCAAGATCGATGTCAAGTCCTCCGAGTTCTCGCACAAACAAATCAAAAAGTATATAAAATCATTATTAATTTCAATCTTTGGACTGTTCGATGAATTTTTTTAAATAATTTATTATTATTAGTTCATTATGACGATTCTTCTATGAAAACTTCAGAAGAAGAAGGTACAATGAACCAGTCCATAAAAAGCATGTTGGATTCAAATAAAGAACGCAAGTTGATAAAAGTGGACTTTTCGGCATTGGCACGATTAGTGGTAATTACAATATAATAATGTAATTTGTTATTTTTTTTAATGTCTATATACATTTAATAAATAATTGCAGAGTTCTGATTCTGAAGAGGATGATGAAGACGATGAAAACAATCCGAAACCCAAGAGTGCCGGAGAAAATAACGATGATTTGATGTTTATGGCTAAAACAAGTCAAGGTAGTGATTCCAATCAGCTCAGCTGTGATATTCCCTGTCAATTAAATACAAAAACTTCAACAACATCTTGTGTTATATCATAAACAAAATTAATTTCAACTATTAGGATATCTAATTTTTCTACACCTAACCTGACCAGTTTTTTATTGACCTTTTTTCAAAAAAAAAAATTCTTCTCGTTTCACGTTACTTCAACTTACCTTGTTAATAGTGCCTATTTGAATGAAGGAGTATTTAAATTCCTCTTAAATCAAAATAACAACAAAACACAGCCAATATTCTTCCCTATAAATAATAGATTCTATTCTTGTAATTATACACTAATTAACTTTGAACTAAATTATTAAAACTGTTTAAAACTGTACATATAAGTAACACTTGAAGCATGAGACAATTAAAGGTTTTTTAAATTTCATTTTTGTATTATTATTTATAATTACCATTACTACTTTTTTATTTTATTTAAGGAACTAAAATTATTTTTTAGTTTAGCACTGAACAGAATTTGTCTACATTTTTTATTTTTGTAACTAAAGAGGTGTGCTCATTTTAATATTATTGTAAATATTATTTGTTGTATAGAAAATATTATTTTATTTTTGTAGAATATAGTATATATGTTGATACTAAAACACTTCTATTTTCCATCGATACATTTTAAAGCGCATTAAAACAATTATAACATTATTGATATTATGAGTTTTAAAATCAGGTAAGATTTTCAACACCGGTTTTCATTCTACTAAATTTTGGTATGATTTCGCATGTATATTATTCTCTAAACGCTTAAAAGTTAATGTAAAACATATACTTCTTATTTTCTTTATATTAACAAAATTCTTCGTAAATATAATATTACTTACATAACTTGCTAGTAGTTTAAACTGTTATTTTATTAAATTTATTCTTTAACTGTTATTTAATACTCGATAAGAAAAAACATGCTTTCACTAATGATCTCGTGTTTTTTGTCTTAATTTATTTCTAATATTGTTTAATGTATCATGAAATACCAAACTATTATTTAAACAATTAAATTAAATTATTTCTTTAAATAATATAAAAATAATTATTGGTAAGAAAAAAAAAAGTTGTTATATTTTAAAAGCTAGTTATTTAAAACTGTTTGTACAAATATATGTATGTGTATAAAAAATAAAATGTTAACCTTTTTTTATTCAGGTGAGGTGATTTTTTAAACTATCTATTTTCACTAACCAAATTTAGTTAGAGCTGTTTTTAACACATCTAATTTTTTACTCAATTAGTTATCAGGCTTTTTTTAAAAAAGCCCTTTAACAATTGAAATATACTTGATTTTGGTATGAATTCTTCTATTCTAAATGAACGTAATTGTTTATTTGTCATTTTTAATCGCTTGTTGTTTCGATTGTAGAAAAAGAAGAAAAACTGGGATCTTATCCTAAAAATGTGCATTCATTGAGAAAACAACACCGAAGACATACTATTGCCGATCAATCGGCTCTATCGTTTATCAAGCCGTTGGGATCTTGGAAACATTCACGCAGACAATCTGCATTCAAAACATTACCGAGTGTAAGGAACTCTGTTAAATGTATTTATCATTAACTAACAATTTACTAATATTTTAATATATTTTTTTTAATCATAATAATAAAACAAAAAGATCCACTGTACTCGATTTTGTTTTGGTTGGGCCTTACTGGATAGAGTATAGTGGATTTGAGGAGGTTATGAGTCTTGGGAGAAAAGTTACAGTGTACCATAATTTGAAGTAAAAGTATGTGTATATTTTAATAGTGTTTTTCTTGATTTTAAAGGTGAGAGGTTTTTTAATTTTTTTTCTTTGGTTTTATAACTTACCTTCTGGGCACAATTTCCGATTTATAGAAAAAATACATCAATGATATAAGATACAAAAGTAGAAAAGTAAAAACACATACCATTGTAAAAACTAAACAATATCTTCTCGACGTGACATCAAAGCTAAAAGGGATTGTTGTTATTGTTCAAAATTGTATTTTATGTATATTTTCAGAGCGATTGCCTGGCGTTAACACTCCAAGAATTAATTCACATTCGTAGCGTCCTGACAAAAGCAGAAATTGAAAGTTTGCCAGTTGAAGGCCACTTCAAAGAAGACGTTGAGAGCCGAAAAGTACACAATCATATTATTATGTTCTTTTAGTTAATTTGTATTGATTGTATTTTTTTTTCCAGGTATGTTTCTTATGTATGAAAACAAGATTCGGTATTTTTGGACCGTGGGGTCAAGAATGCAAAATGTGCCAGCGGACGGTGTGTTCAAAGTGTTGTACTAAGGTAGAAAAAGAAAATCACTACGCCGCTGTTGATTTTACCGATAAAATTGTATGTTTATATATACATTTTCAGATGCGCATACCAACCGAACAGTTTTCTCAAATACCCGTTGCCGCGCTTAGTCCTAGCGTAGCGGCATCGGAGCATAACCCGTGGTGGCCAAAGAGTATATCCAATTGGGGTAGCGCTCCGTCAAGTCCTCAAAAATTGCTGACTACACACCCGACCACCGCCATTGATATGTCTGCAAGTTACCACGGTTCATCCACTATTAGCCAAAACAATAATCGGTAAACCTTCAAGTTAATCATAAGGAGGGATCACTTCTTATTGCTTGCTTACTTACCCAATTTTTTTTTTATAGTCCTAACACTAAACACGGCACGCAAATGCCGGTCTGTATTGATTGCAAAACGATGGTTTTACAAGAAATAAAAACGTCACGAGTAAACCGTTCAAATTTACTTAGGCATCTAACGCTCGACCTGTCTTCCGTTTACTAGTATTAGTTGAATTTTATTTATTCAGTAAATATATAATATAGAAATAATTTTTTAGTTACATTAAAAGTAAGTGAAAAAATCCTATGCTTACGTTGTTTTCAATGTACTGCCATTGGTAGACTATTTTGTACAAAAAACATAATTGAATATTTTATATAAAAAAAAATTTAACAAATAAATTATGTTATCGGTTGTCTGTTTCAAGTTTATAAGGCTAATGTTAATGATTGGAAATCTTTGTTAAACAGTTGTATAATTTTTTTTAAAAATCCTAGCACAACACGCATGTAATAAATTATTGATGCATATATTTTTTTTTTTTTTTATAATTAACTTATTTTGTAATTTAAGGTTGTTATCTTTACCGATGCCATGGCAAAATTCACAGTGCTGTAATAATAATATGTAGATATTAATGATATGTATGTTAATAAAATATTAAAATGTAATCAGTAACGTTAAATTAAGTTGTAATTTATTATTTGTTCAACTTAAATGACTATGTATTGTAAAACACATTGATAGTAAATTAAATGGACAGTTAACATTGATTAAGTATGAAGTTATTCACATTTATTGATAGGACAATCTACTCATAACTTGTTTTATGGAATCTATAATTTATGCTATATAATTGTTGTATTTTCCAATTTCCTACTAGGAATTATACTGTATATTTTTGTTGTTTCTAAGTGTGGTTATCGCCGAGTTAAAAATGTGTGTATTGTACCACTACGTAAGTTAATATTTTTTCAAATGTCATAGGTTTTTGTTTTCTAAAAAAAACATTTTTAAAATTAATATTATTACTATTAAAACAAACCATAATTTTATTTTAACAAAACAAGTTAATCTCTATGGACAAACATATTTAACAGTATTATAAACACTGACAAACGGATAAAAAAAAATGCAACTAAAGAAGAGTTCAAAGAATGTAAGACTGTATTAATGTACATAGATGAATTAGTATAGCGATTAAACCATTAACGTTTCCTTTCTACTTTCTGCGCTTTTTTCTTTTTTGCATCCTTTTTCTCTTGGGCTAATTGCTTTTGTTTTTCTCTGAAACAAAACATTAAAGTCTACTTATAAATTTGAATAGATAAGCACTTCATTCTTCAAACATTTTACTTTTAAAATCAATATTAAATCAACATTATTATGTTCCTCAATTCTAAAATTGCATTACTTAGTTTTTGAATTTTTCAAATTTCCCGTATAGAACCAATTTTTAGGGTTTAACAGGTCCGCACGAGTTTGACTTAATATTTAATTATTGTTTAGAATATAATGCTAATATTGTAAAACTATACTTGATTTAAGCTACTGGTGAGAACAGAGGATACGGAGACATACCTAAAAGTATAGTATAAAAGATTAATTAAAAATGTTATGTTACCTGTCTTCTTTATCTTTTTCTTTTTTTTTGACACTCTGTTCCTTTGCTTTTTCTCTTTGTTCTTTTTTAGCGGCCAACACAGAACTAGCATTGGTGTTGTGTTCAATATCTATACCGCTAGACTCGTCTTCTTCCAATTCGGCTTCTTTCTGAAATTCATAAAATTGCAGACATTCAACTTTCATGTGTAAAAACCAAAAAATAAATGATGCTGCTGTAAACAAAAAAAAAAACATTTTTACCAGAAAGTAAAATAAAAATGTAATTTTTATTTTTTCAACTATAAAAAATTTAAAGCACAGTTTTGTTTAAGGTTTTAGATTATAAATGTTAATGCAAACGATCATTAATTAAATTTACTTTTAAGCTCGACTCACAACTAACAAATGTATCAAAACTTGAGGTACAATTACCGTTATAATAAAATGGATGGGAACTATGAGTTGATAATAAAAAATTATATTTGATCTTACCTGCGCGTATTGTGATAAAATATTTTTACGAATTTTCATCAAATCTGAATCGTCATCGGAATTACAATTTGTAGTGGTTTTGCTAGGTGCCGAGACAACGGTTCTTATATTGTTTTCAAGCAGTTTAACTAGCGCTTCTTCGGTATTTTCAATGACGTTTATACTAGATTTCTCCTCGTTGACATCATCTGTATCGTACATTGATATTATTTCCATACATTGAGTTTTTGCTTCGTTTTCACTCTAAAATATTTTTTTAAACTTATTAACTTAAATATACTTATTAAATAAGTCACTTATTTCGCTTGTTAATTAAAAATATAATTTTACAATACCTACTGTCCTGAAAAGAATTCAAAATAATATTAGTTTATAAACTATAATTATTGTAAGTTATAATTTCGATTCGATACCAATGTCGTCCATGGATCGATTAACCATAGAGTTATGTCCAAAAATGTGAGTAAGCAATAAAAACTAACTATTACCAAGACTTCGCCAAGAATGGTTTCAAGAGCGCTAATTTTTTCACTTTGCTCTTCTTCGCCTTCTAACACGCCTTCGATGTAATTCAAATAAATGTCTTCGTCCAACGCAAACTGTTTCAATTTGGAACACAGCCATGCTGTTTTAGCAGACTTTTCCATTTCTGTAAGATTATTATAAGAAAATATATCAACAAATATGGCCCATCAATTTGTAGGATAAATCAGTCCATTAGTAAAATAAATTATCCTTTTACATATTATTAAATGTGTTTATTGCTTATGCTTACAATGATTATATACAAAAAAATATTACCAGCAGTGCAGTTAGATGTATAAGTTGCAAGTAAATAAAAAAACGTGTATTATTATAAATATTATATTTTACGTGCTACTCAACATGATGGGCCTTTTGAACATGCCAGAGTTATCTAGCCGCAAAAAAATAATAAAATAAGTTAAAACTAATATATGAATATATTTTTTTGAAAATAAAATACCAATGAATTATGAAACCGAAAAGAAAAGAACGGATCGCTCACATTTCTGATTTCTTGTTATTATTTCTTATCAGTTATCGGTATTGTGCGTTATCAGTTATCACGGAATAATTGTTTATCAAACATTCAACAGTGTGCGTTGCGATGTAGTTAATTTATCACGATGTAGTTATCATAAACTATATCGGGATAACACCACTTTTCCCAAATTGCATACGTTACCAAGAATCAATTTTTCCATTTTACTCTTTTTTCTAACTACTAATAGGCAATAATTGACCTGCCGCACACTGGAGCAAAAGGTCCCCAAACTGACAAAAAATAAATTTGAATTTAAACTACGAACAATTTAGCAGTATGTAACAATACTTTATTATATTATTTTTGTTTGTGCGATAACACGGTTAAATAGGTCACAATATTTTAGTAACATGGTTAATTTATTGCTCGCGACCAAAATATGATATTATGGCACTATTATTATATTATATTTTTGCCAATTTTGGAGGCCTCTTGCCCCACTGTGCATCGATAAGAAATTTGTCATAGGCCTAGTTAACACCGCACACGTAGGTCACGTTACCTGACCATTATTCTGTGAGGTAAAAGTTAAAACGGTGTAAATGTATTAGTTCATTATTATAATTGGTCAGGCCAGGTCATATTTCTTTGCTTTCCTCACCAATAAATGGCCGTTGACAATAATAGCGTTTCTGATGTAAACAGTTTTAGCTAATAGGCCGTCATTACGAATTGAATTTTATGATAAGATTTAAAACATAAAAGTGATATATTATGTTTTTACATTCAATTATTCAAATACGTTCATAATATTATAGTATTGTTAATATTATTTCAAGTTATAACAGTTATTAATTTATTATAATGGGCTTGAGACAAATTTAGGACACATGGTGTAAACAAAACGTTTATAAGTAAGGCACCTATTGTAAGGTGTATACCTATTATAGTTATAACGGTGTAAACTAGGCCATAGACATTGGTAATTTATACAATTTGGGAAAAGTGGTAGTAATCCGGAAACATTTTTGAGAAAAAAAAATTATGTCATCTGCTCAAGGGCAGTTAACTTTTAATTTTATTTCTTAAGTATGTAAAATAAGTAGTTAGCAACATTTCAAAATCTTAAAGGGTGGTTTTCTTAGAAACCCAAGTTCCAAAAATAAATTAAACAATAACCAAATATAACTACCAATTTTCAAGATAGGAGAACGATTCTTTTTTTCGTATTATTAACCCAACATTCACAATTTATATTTTAATTCTGACATTTTATTGCTTTTTTCTACTTTCATATATGCGATTCAGTTAGGTAAGGGACTCGATGAGGCGACGTCTCAGTTCGCGCGGCGCGTGATGGCGAAAAAGGAGGAGGCGGTAAGAGTCTGCAGAGAACAGGGGTAGCCCGGCGGGGCTGAAAAACCAAGGTGATGCTCGGCGGCCGATGCGGAACCGAGCAGATAAGCAAATGATGTACATAATGCATATAGTATTTAGCAGTTAAATGTGGACCGAAGGCTGCAACCTTTTCTGAATTTTCAGGAAGTATAAATTATTAACTACAATTCAGTAGCACTTTTTAAATTGTGGTAAACCAATGGGTAACTCTCTCCGAAATAAACAACCTAGCTAAACCACCAAGAGTCGAGACTATTAAAATTTAATAGGTACAATTGTATAAATATAATCATGATTACAAATGGAAGGATTGTCGTTTGAGTTTTCTAACTAAAGTTTAGACTAAACTAGAGTTTCCTAACTCGCAGCCGGTTTTACCAACTATTGTTAAATACACTCTTAAGTCTTAACACAATGTTAGTTAACAATTCATATTTCATTTAAATTTAACATCCGGTTAAATTAAATGAGCTACACATAAGACCATAACATTATTATTGTTAAATTCTATTTGTTAAGTTAACAAAACGTTAGTTGGGTTACCAAAGCGGACCTCGATTGCAACGTTCTCATTGGTTATCAAGATATGTGATAACGGATAAGTGATTGTATTTTGTAACTTTCTATATACCTATTCAGTTTGAATTAGAAAGTAGAAAACAAATTAATCTCACCGTTTGTAAAGTCGCAGTTAACTTCTATTTCATAATTGTTTGCTCTGCTAAAATAATAAAGTGATAATTTTTCTATTTGATTGTTGTTAGTAAGACAATATAATTGATGTATATTTTTAGATCATTGAATGTATGATAATTTGCTGATAGAAACATTAATAGCTTATACTTATTTATTTCAAACATCATTTATTACTAATTATATTAAGTACAATAAAACGAATAATCCGAAATCACAATGTAGTACCGGTTAGTGTTCTTAAAATTCACTTACGTGTTATTTATTTTATAAGAAACAACTAACTCAACTAAAGTCTTGCACTAAAATATAAAAAATGTACCCTATCTTACGGTACATAAAAAATGTGTAAAATTGTTATACATTTTATATAAACTTTATAAAATCATGAATTTGTTTTTTAATCTTTTAGCTAATTAAAAATTTGAAAAACAATAATTGTTTAAGGGGATTTTATGTTTTTAAGGAGCTTTGTATAGACAATATTAAAAAAAAAAAAGAGAGATTTTAATAAATTTCGACCATGTCAATTAATTTACCTGTTAATTTGTATAAGCTTCAAGGTATTATAATTAATACAAATAATTTTTTCTATGAGTAAAAGCCATGTTGGCTTTATTTTAGACGAAAAAGCCAGACAAAATTTCGACTACATAATATGATGCGGTCCAATTAAATTTTTTTTGAAGAGATTCGAGTTCTCAATTATGTGTTATGCAGGAAGCCGATTTTCATTTAAACATTTCAATTTCTTGTAAATAAGTAAATAAATTAAATTTTTAAATTTTTTTCAATTTTAAAACCCAATTTTTTTTTACATAAAACAGAAATCGTGTACCTTACCAGAATTAAAATCGGACTGTCCTAAGTCTGTCTGGCTCTTTGGTCTAAAACATCTAAAAAGCAGATCGTTATGTTAGATCATTAAATTGTCTACAAAGAATGTTTGTACACATTTTTCCAAAAATGCATTATTATATGAGAAAAAATTTAACATAACTTTTTTCATTTATTCAGATAAACTGGTTTTCTACGGTTATTTAAATATATTTGATAAACGAGTAGAACGTGTTTAATATATTTCTTATAAATAAAAATTAATAAATCGTCTTTTAATTAATCAAAATCAACCGCTCAAAATGTTCGATACCTGGGTTTACACCTAGACCGGCGTCTTACTTGGGCAACTCATATCCACGCTAAGCGTCTCGTCTTAAACAACCGCCTCCGTCAATTACGCTTCCTTCTAACAACAAAACACCTCAACCTCCAAAACAAACTTTTAATTTACAAACTACTCCTCAAACCCATTTGGACCTATGGCATCCAGCTATGGGGAGCTGCCAAACCATCCAATATCTATAAAATACAAACATTTCAAAATAAATGTCTCCGTCTATTAACAAAAGCCCCATTTTACGTCTCCAATGATACCCTCCACAAAGATCTCTCCATCCCAACAGTCCTTAACTCTGCCAAAACCTTCTACAAACGCCTACACTCCAAAACCTTTAGCCATAAAAACCCCCTGATCTCGGAACTATCCGTGCACACAATCCCTGGTGACCCCAGAAGGCGCCTAAAGCGAACGTGGGGTCGCGATCTATTGATTGACTAATCCACGATCTCACACGTCATGAAGTACCAGCTCTGGCTGGCCTCTTCTAACAAGTCTACTGTATCAATATATTATTATATATTTGCCTACCATGTAATTTATCCTTTGTTCTTATTGTAATTACATTTATTACAGATTGTACAAATTCTAAATAAAAAAAAAAAAAAAAAAAATTAATCAAAGACAATATCAATACAAATCAGTCTTAATAATAAGTCAATAAGGTTGACCAGGATCTAATTTTTTTACGGTAATTATATTTTATATCAAAGAAGATGATTTTTTTTTTTTTTTTTTATTTAAATATGGCTTCGACTACTAGGTCATTAGCCTTTAGTTTACATTTACATTTACATTTTTTAGTACAATATTGAATTTTACAGTTTATTACATAAGTTAAGTAATTTAAGGAATTTTAGAATGTTTTCTTCGTTGTTTTCTTTTAATGCGTTTTGAATGTTGTTTGGCTGGTTGAGTATGTGGCGTTCGTTGTTGTAGTTGTTGCATTCTATAATGATGTGTTTCATGGAGATTGGTTTATTGCAGGTAGAACATATTGGCTGAGGTTCGTGGTTGAGTAGGTGTGCGTGGGTAAGGTGGCTGTGTCCAATTCGGGTTCTTGTAAGTATTATGTCCTGTCTTCTCGTCAGTGATACGTTTGAAAGCCATTTTTTGGTTGTTGTTTTAATTTCTCTTAGTTTATTACTGGGTGGAGTGTATTTCCATATATTTTGCCATTTTTGGTGGAATCTTTTGGTGATTTGATGTGTAACGTCATTTGAAGTGATTTCTACCAACATGAAGATGATTTATTTTATACTGTTCCCAGTTTAACAATTTCTATAATATATCTTTTTAGCGATCTATTAGTAAAAAATGGACGATCGTATGAAATGTTTTTTTATTATCTATTTTGTAGGCAATTTAATTTTATAAAATAAAAAATTTAATAATAAATTTAAAAGTTTTATACTTAATATATTTAATAGACATGCATTAAGGAAGGAGGGGCTGGTCTCAGCCGTTCATCTACAACGTACCAGGGACGTGAGATTTATAAATTTATTAGCCATTATTTGTCAATATATAATTATTTGACGTCATAAGGTTACTATAGTAAGTAGGTATTATTATTATAATAATATACATGTATGTTATTCTAAGTTTTTTGTCTACTGAGTTTTATTTCTGAAAAACAGGACTCAAAACGTGAAGGTATGTCGTACCAATTATTATAGTCTTGCTTTGATAATGGTATTAGTTGAAACACGCTTTATTATTTCAGGAAAAACGGCAGATAGCAATTGTATATTGTACGCAGATTGAATACTTACAGTCAACAGAAACGTAAGTCGTACCATTGTATTATTCCATTGCACAGACCGAACCAGTGATCCGATAAGCAATCTAAAAACAGATTTGAATTCACCATTTGAGTTTACTTATGATTAGTAAGGGCACTCTTTTAACTTTAACCCTTTCCAAATTTGAAATAATGTTCAAACGTGTTTTATACATAGTAGGAATAAGATATCAAAAAAGTACCCTAACCGATAATAAGTAAACTTCATGACGAATTCAAATCTGTTTTCAGATTACTTATCGGATCACTGGTTCAGCCTGTGTGATGCAACAAAAAATGTATGTTATATTAACTAAAATGGTTTTTACTCATAGACAAAATAATTTAAATTAGAAATAATACCATGAAGCTTAAATAAATAACCCGGTAAATTAATTGTCATGATCGAAATTTATTAAAACAGAGAAAAAATGTCCATGCTTAATAGTAATGTGTATAACATTAAATGTGAGTTATTGAAGTAATGTTTACCATTGTCCAATACCGAATTATTGAAATAACATCCAATTTCACTATTGCTCTAACGTCATCCATTAATTCAAGTGCATTACTCAGTGGTTCATCGCGGTGAAAAAACTTATTTATAAATTCTATTACCGTTTGTCGGTCTTTACTGGTGATAGAACTATAGAAGCTATCACCAGTGAAACCAAGTGCTAAACCAATCTTTACACTTAATGTATGCGCGGTTGTGTCTGATCAAGAGACAAACAATCAGTTAGCGTATAAGATGTTAGGTATGACATCTGAAAAACCTTATTTTTATGTACGTTATAAACAAATATTTTCTGTATATGGTGTGCCACATATTTTCAAAAATATTCGAAATAATTGTCTTAATTTGAAAAATTTTGTTATAATATTTTATAATTTGAATGTAATTTTGATTTGTATTAAATTATACTATTCTACAAACCACTTTGGTCGCTAGTCAACGCTGGACAACAGTTATTGCTACTTGTTATAACAATTATTGTTAATTATTGTTACAGGATGTTTAACCCAATATGGGTTGTTGCCCCTGTGGGCTTAGTTGTATTGGCGTACTACTCGTACATGTATTATGCAAAAGGAGACGATGAGGAGGAGCGACAGGAAGAGGAGCAACAGGAGGAGGAGCGACAGGAGGAGGTGCGACAGGAAGAGGAGCGACAGAAGGAGGTGCGGCAAGAAGAGGAGCAGCAGGAGGAGAAGCGACAGAAGGAACAGGTGTGGAAAGAAATGACCAAGACCGAAATGTTGAGCCAACAGAGGGAGTTGTTAGGGACCTGCCTGGAAGTAGCCCAGCAGGTCCGCGACCCTGGTCAATATTCCAAGTTCATCGACCTACTGTCTGCGATATTGGCATTCCCAGACAACGAGGTCACAGATACGGCAAGGATAATATTTAAGCCTATTCTTCACCGCATGAGACCGGACGAATTGCGGGAGTTCGACAAAATGGTGGACAAAAAGAAAACAATTTTAAAACGAACTCCGACGCCGTTCGGCGGCAACGTGTACAACGATGTACTCGAAGGTGCCAGGTAACTTTTGGTACGCCGTCGGACTGTTGGTATGTATCTCTAATTACTTTTGTTCCTTTTTTCCCTGCTATACCTTTGATTTTTATAACCTCTATCGTAACTGTTGTCCCTATTGTAATTATTATCACTAGATCTTTTATAATCTCTGTCTCTTGAGAATGACCTGTTTCTTCTATCATATCTCTCTCTTGAAATTGACCTGTCTCTTCTGTTCCTATCAGAATCTAAATCAAACTTGATTGTGTCAAGTCATCGTTTTAAAATGGCGACCAAATTTTGCCGAAAGTGACGTTTATTCAAGATTCGCCTCCCTGTGTGTTCTGCGTGCGCTACCTACTTTTCTCCGGTCAAACACCACTCGTGATCCACCGTAGATTATCCAGGGCGCCGATTCTCGAATATTTATCGAACTCGACAACATTTTCTCGCCATCGGTTTAAAATGGTGACCAAATTTTGCCGAAAGTGACGTTTATTCAAGATTCGCCTCCCTGTGTGTTCTGCGTGCGCTACCTACTTTTCTCCGGTCAAACACCACTCGTGATCCACCGTAGATTATCCAGGGCGCCAATTCTCGAATATTTATCGAATTCGACAACATTTTCTCGCCATCGGTTTAAAATGGTGACCAAATTTTGCCGAAAGTGACGTTTATTCAAGATTCGCCTCCCTGTGTGTTCTGCGTGCGCTATCTACTTTTCTCCGGTCAAACACCACTCGTGATCCACCGTAGATTATCCAGGGCGCCGATTCTCGAATATTTATCGAACTCGACAACATTTTCTCGCCATCGGTTTAAAATGGTGACCAAATTTTGCCGAAAGTGACGTTTATTCAAGATTCGCCTCCCTGTGTGTTCTGCGTGCGCTACCTACTTTTCTCCGGTCAAACACCACTCGTGATCCACCGTAGATTATCCAGGGCGCCGATTCTCGAATATTTATCGAACTCGACAACATTTTCTCGCCATCGGTTTAAAATGGTGACCAAATTTTGCCGAAAGTGACGTTTATTCAAGATTCGCCTCCCTGTGTGTTCTGCGTGCGCTACCTACTTTTCTCCGGTCAAACACCACTCGTGATCCACCGTAGATTATCCAGGGCGCCGATTCTCGAATATTTATCGAACTCGACAACATTTTCTCGCCATCGGTTTAAAATGGTGACCAAATTTTGCCGAAAGTGACGTTTATTCAAGATTCGCCTCCCTGTGTGTTCTGCGTGCGCTACCTACTTTTCTCCGGTCAAACACCACTCGTGATCCACCGTAGATTATCCAGGGCGCCAATTCTCGAATATTTATCGAATTCGACAACATTTTCTCGCCATCGGTTTAAAATGGTGACCAAATTTTGCCGAAAGTGACGTTTATTCAAGATTCGCCTCCCTGTGTGTTCTGCGTGCGCTATCTACTTTTCTCCGGTCAAACACCACTCGTGATCCACCGTAGATTATCCAGGGCGCCGATTCTCGAATATTTATCGAACTCGACAACATTTTCTCGCCATCGGTTTAAAATGGTGACCAAATTTTGCCGAAAGTGACGTTTATTCAAGATTCGCCTCCCTGTGTGTTCTGCGTGCGCTACCTACTTTTCTCCGGTCAAACACCACTCGTGATCCACCGTAGATTATCCAGGGCGCCGATTCTCGAATATTTATCGAACTCGACAACATTTTCTCGCCATCGGTTTAAAATGGTGACCAAATTTTGCCGAAAGTGACGTTTATTCAAGATTCGCCTCCCTGTGTGTTCTGCGTGCGCTACTTACTTTTCTCCGGTCAAACACCACTCGTGATCCACCGTAGATTATCCAGGGCGCCGATTCTCGAATATTTATCGAACTCGACAACATTTTCTCGCCATCGGTTTAAAATGGTGACCAAATTTTGCCGAAAGTGACGTTTATTCAAGATTCGCCTCCCTGTGTGTTCTGCGTGCGCTACCTACTTTTCTCCGGTCAAACACCACTCGTGATCCACCGTAGATTATCCAGGGCGCCGATTCTCGAATATTTATCGAACTCGACAACATTTTCTCGCCATCGGTTTAAAATGGTGACCAAATTTTGCCGAAAGTGACGTTTATTCAAGATTCGCCTCCCTGTGTGTTCTGCTTGCGCTACCTACTTTTCTCCGGTCAAACACCACTCGTGATCCACCGTAGATTATCCAGGGCGCCAATTCTCGAATATTTATCGAATTCGACAACATTTTCTCGCCATCGGTTTAAAATGGTGACCAAATTTTGCCGAAAGTGACGTTTATTCAAGATTCGCCTCCCTGTGTGTTCTGCGTGCGCTACCTACTTTTCTCCGGTCAAACACCACTCGTGATCCACCGTAGATTATCCAGGGCGCCGATTCTCGAATATTTATCGAACTCGACAACATTTTCTCGCCATCGGTTTAAAATGGTGACCAAATTTTGCCGAAAGTGACGTTTATTCAAGATTCGCCTCCCTGTGTGTTCTGCGTGCGCTACCTACTTTTCTCCGGTCAAACACCACTCGTGATCCACCGTAGATTATCCAGGGCGCCGATTCTCGAATATTTATCGAACTCGACAACATTTTCTCGCCATCGGTTTAAAATGGTGACCAAATTTTGCCGAAAGTGACGTTTATTCAAGATTCGCCTCCCTGTGTGTTCTGCGTGCGCTACCTACTTTTCTCCGGTCAAACAGCACTCGTGATCCACCGTAGATTATCCAGGGCGCCAATTCTCGAATATTTATCGAATTCGACAACATTTTCTCGCCATCGGTTTAAAATGGTGACCAAATTTGCTCCCCAGTGCTACTCCGCTGAACCTGAACGCTGCTACACCTGGTCTCCAAGAGCGGTCCAACCTCTGCTGAACGCCCTCACTTTCTCGTGCCCTCATTTTATCCCTGTGGACAGGGGAGTAAGAATACTTCCAAGGTTCCCGCGCCTGTCGTAAAAGGCGACTAAAGCGGCGTCGAGCCCGACGTAAAGTGGCCTTCTGACAGGTCACTTCTTCTTGAGACACACCTTCTGCGGCCCGCAATTAGCACCTAGGGCGCCGATTCTCGAATGTATATCGAATTTGACAAGATTTTGGTATAATATGGCGACAAAATCTTCGTTGAAAGCGACAAACATTCGAGAATCTGCCCTTCAGTGCTACTAGGCGGGCCGCAGTCGTAGGGGATCCCTTCGGGGTGAACCACTGAAGCCAAGGAACACCTGTCCCATGCACTTAGTGCATGGCATTTGCTATGACGTTAACTAATTGTGTTTAATCATCTTCTGCGGAGATTTTTAGCTTTTACAGCAGTACTGTTTGGCGTCAGACAGCTTCAGGCTCGAGATGAAGGCAAGCATCGGCGATGGATCTGCTCCTGCTGGCCCTCTGGAATCGCCTACGAGCCGAGAGAGAAGACTTCCTTGGTCGCAACTGACGCAAGTTTCTGACAGGTCACTTCTTCTTGAGACCGCTATAGGCCAAGGAACACCTGTCCCATGCACTTAGTGCATGGCATTTGCTATGACGTTAACTAATTGTGTTTAATCATCTTCTGCGGAGATTTTTAGCTTTTACAGCAGTACCGTTTGGCGTCAGACAGTTTCAGGCTCGAGATGAAGGCAAGCATCGGCGATGGATCTGCTCCTGCTGGCCCTCTGGAATCGCCTACGAGCCGAGAGAGAAGACTTCCTCGGTCGCAACTGACGCAAGTTTCTGACAGGTCACTTCTTCTTGAGACCGCTATAGGCCAAGGAACACCTGTCCATGCACTTTGTGCATGCCACTTGCTATGACGTTGACGCGGTCATATCGCGACTAGGTGGTGGCCGATTACTAATTACACCCGCACCCGCTTTCTCTACTCGTCCGACAGGCCGCGCTCGCCACCCAACCGGACACTTCCATTGTAGATGGATACACGGACATTTTTATGAATATACCTTGTCTTCAACCTTTTGTGTAAATAATAAAGATCAACCGTGATACTTAAACCCGGCGTATATTTTATTTTCACAACAATTACCCTTTTTGTCTATCACGATTTCAACATTTGGTTGAAATCGCTAATTTATCATGGGGCGCACCGGGAAAACTCCCGGTGTTTTTCTATTTTGAAGGCCTAGAAAAAGGTAGATAGTGATAAACATTATTTGAAGGGCAGAGAGGAAAAACGGTAGTTGTCACATTATGAAAGTTTTAGAGTTTTACACATTAATGCGAGCGTATCAAATACTCATCACATAAATGTTGATCTACCCTTGGTATGGTACAAAGATCTTAATTAAATAACTGCAAAACTTCTTCAAACGATTGTACTGTTCCATCCTTTATAAATTAGGTATGGTACCCTCGTGTTTAATATATATTTTTCTGTTCTAGGAACTTGCTTTCTGTTGTAGTTAAATAATTTTTGGATTAAGTCCTGCCGTTTTACGGTGGACATTATTGACATAAAGCTTTTTTTTAATTATTTTAATTAATACTCTGATAATCAGCATCTCATCACATTTATTTATCTCTTATCTCGTTCTCATCGAGATCTGCTGTTAAAGCTCTTTTTGCCCACAAAAAGTTTAATAAGTTATAATAAGACTGATTTAAGTATGTTAATATTTACTTAAGATTGGTGAAGTTGTGAAAATTTAAATGATAAAAACGTAGCTATGGACATATTTAATGTGAAAACTAATGAGGCTATTTCCAATTCCACTAATATGTATATAATAAAATTGTCAAATCAGAAATTAAAAGATTGAATATCAAGCGGTCAGGTTAACTCTATTTTAACTAAGTGAACATTTAAAAACAGATTAGATAATCCCATTTTTATTTAACATTAGTTAAAAATGGTATAATTGTGTTAGGAATATCTTATACCCCCATAATTTTGGTTAGAAATACTAGATTAAACTAGTAGAAGATAATTCTAACTTTATACTGTTAAACAGTTGTACTTTACTAAATTGTAGTTAACAATGAAAAGTATAAAAGTTGTAGGTATTTAATTTATCATTATTTTCAGGTAAGTGCCCCAATAGTTTTAACAAATGTGTCTTCATTCCTTTACACAAAACAGGAAATAAATAATTGTTCAGTAGTTATTATCTATTATTTCAGTCGGTAATTATAATTACTAGGGCTCTAGTTATAATTACTAGACTGTAGCCATTATAAACCAATATCGTTATCACTGTCTCTATCAAAAATATTTGAAAAATCATTAAATCCCAAATAATGAAGTAATATAGTATTTAGTTATTAAAACATATTTACATGGTTTTACGAGTTTTTATAGTTGAATTTGAATAAAACTGAACATATGGTTTTCAATATTCAAAACTATTTTAATCTGGATAACTTAAAGTTTAGAGGTCAAACTGTGTAGAGCTACAAAATTGTGTTTCATGAATTATGATTCATATAAGATGTAACTGCGTTACTATTAAAAAGAAAATAGTTGTATACTTTGATTCATTGATAACTGACTAAAATGAAAATATCAAAAATATTGAATATGTTATAAAACTATTCAATTATTATCAAGACATTATTTATATATATCTATAGTTTTTAGATAATAGCAGATATTGTTAAGGGTTAAACTTACTAAAGCTAATTTATTATTTAAATGTTGAATCTATAATTATTTACTACATTATACTATGCATATAAATAAAGATAACGGTACCTGGACTTTATAATACAATTTATATCGAACACATCATTGTATACTCAAAGAGAGTATTCAATATGTTAAACATCCTTCGTTTAAACGTATTATATAATATCCCTTGTATTACAATACACAGATACAAATCAGTCGTTATCGAGAGTAAACGTGTCTATGAGAACAGATTTAGAAAAAATACATTTGGTTTACTTTTACTTTATTGTGTCAAAAACTACATCTAAAAACTAATTTCTAAATAATAAAATTATAAACAAATATATACTATATACTAAATACGCTTTGAATTTTTATCATAATTAAATATTATTTAATTAAAAATTATCAAAAAAGTAAGTGGTTATTAAAACATGTTTTCAGTTGTAAAATAACACAAACAAAAATGTTTTGAAAAATAATTTTACCTAATTGAAATTATTATGAGAGAAAATTAGTCAATCACACTATATAATTAAGCTAACCAAGAAAAAACAACTTTTATTTCTAAAAAACAATATAGACTTCCTGTCTATCAGGCTACCTAAAGTAACACAGTATACATTTCAGACCAATTTTATAATTTATAAAGTACAATTCATAAAGTTTGATAAGTCATTTAAATAAATAATAAATAGTAATAATAGAAATAATAAATGTAATAGTTTAAAACACATAAAATAATCTGGTAAAAAGTATAAATAGTATAAAATGATACTTAAGTAAAGATATTTTTTAACTAAAAATGTATATATTATAAACTAAACATCAAAATTTACAAATGTATAATTACTTGGTTTAGCAAAAAAAAATTGTACCGTTTTTTTTTTTTAATCTAGGTATTCAAAATTTTGACTACACAATTTTTCCTAACAACATCAACATAATTTCACAACAGTTTACAAATTTTCAATCTTTCAGTTAGGTCAAGATATTTTTACAATAAATTAATATTTTAATGTTATTAAGGTAAGTAAATATTAATAAATAAGCAAATACAGAAGCTACATTTATAATTTATTTGGTAGGCTAATAATTATGTTTGTCAAAATTGTAATAATAATATACTGTTAGTATCGTTAAACTAAAGATACTTGTATTGACACTTAAAGTGTAAAAATATTCAAACAATAATACAAGTATTCAAAAAAAAAAAAAAATTTAAACAATCTTAATTTTGTTTTAATGTAGTTGAAAATTAAAAATGAGATATCAGTGTAGTGGTCATAAATACAGTACAGTTTATATGGACGTTGAAGACAGGATAATAAGTTATTCAATAAATAAACAACTGAATTACAGTTGATTAATAATAAATTATAATGAGACTTTTTTAAATAAAATTAAACAAAATATAAAGAGATTGGAGATGATACTACGATGTCTAACAGCAGGTAAACAGAAATACTGGGTGGTTTTTATAATGTTAGTCTGATACAGAATATTCTTCCAGGGGTTTTGCACAAAATCCAATTAACTTCAACAACAAATATTCAAATATAGTGTCAAAAATCCGTCTATGGATTACAGTGTCCATGGAGAAATATATGATATGTCCATTTAATCTTCCTCTGGTCACATTCTAGCTGAAAAAACAACAAATGGTTAAATAATATTAATAATAATTATAATATAAAACCAATTTTAAATGAATTACTAATGTTAAGGTTTGTTAATTGTGAAGTTAAAATTAAATATAACGAAAATTGATAATGACATTTTTTTATACCATTTAACTTCCAACTTTTTATACCATTCAATTTAAATTATCTATCAATAACACTTGGAAGAGTGATTTCATGAATAGACTATATTTGTGACCGGTATATATCATGTGGACCTAGTTTGTTATCTCATACCAATGAAGCGTAAGATCTACAAGTAAATGCAATTTTTCTTGTACAAAAACTGACAATGTTAGAAAATAGTAAATTAAATTATTAAAAAGAAAGATAATTTACATTTGATTTCTTTTTTTTTAAATACCCTATATTAGGGTGTTTTAGATTGATATTAAACTAATTTTGTATCAATATTTGTATTAATACTACAAATCTAGAATGTTTTCCATACCTAATCTATTTAGACAAATGATAAAACAATTATTTCTTCCAGTTAGTGTCGATGGAGAACTGTTCAACCAGAATCTTTGACTCATCTTAAAACTGAAAGATATATTTTTAATAAATAAGTTAAAAGTTGAAATGTTAATTATTAAAATAATAGAGATTAAATCAATTAAAACAATTTTACAAAAAATAACTCCATACCTGTTACCACACTTAATCAGACTAGAGATAGTTTCAGGAATCGAACCGCTCTAATGAATAAGCATACCGATAAGCTTTTTATGACTTCAGACAACTACCATCATACTGTAAAACATAATTTACTTGTATTAATAGTTTCATTTAAATAGGATGTAATAATATTGTCACACAAATTAGTACAATATAGTGTATGTCTGAACTTTGTCGCTAGGTACTATAATTGATAAATATATTATGTTATTCATATTAAATATTGCAAGTTTATATTATGTGAAAATAAGAGTTTTGAATTATGAATTAAAAAAGAATTCTAATAAAAATATTCATTTAATATTAATAAGAAACGAAAGTAAATTTTATTTACCAATAATTATCGTTGTCGTCATATGAACTAGTTGGTTTTTTGTCATTATAAATGTATCGTAAAAATGTGTACTATTTAAGAAAATATAATATATTTTAACACGGTTATTTTTTTTATCATTTGAATTATTGCCGTTTAGTTCTAGAGATAACAGTTAACTCTGACAAACGTTAGTTATATTTTAGTTACTTTTATTCTGATAGAATTGGCAGACTGATAGAATGTGATTTTATATTTTGGTGTTTCTGGGTTGGTCACGCTGATAAAATAAAAATTGTGTTATCTTTTGGAAGAACTCTTATCTCTTATCATTTTTTGGAAGAACTGCCCTGAACACGTGCGTTGCATGCGCATTTTTGCCGCCATACTATGAAAATATTATACTTTTATCAATAAATCTACCTTGTTTAGGGATTTTAAAACGTTAACTCGTGTATCAGATGTGTTAAGTGCAAAATTTAATTCTTGTTGTTTTTCACGTTGAGATGTTACAAAAAAAATGTTTTAATGCGTTTGGTAATGTTAAATATCACAAAAATTTGTAACATTATAGTATGATTGTCCGTTGTCGGCAAGCGAAGAAGTCAAATAGAAGATTTTATATGAAGTGTGAACGAAGACAAATAGTTCAATATCTACAAAAATGTATATAAAAAAAAAATTACTAATAAAATAAGATAGATGTTAAAAATAAATTGAATCACATTTGCTGATCAAATTCGGCCGAAAATGTTAAACAGAATGAAAAAGGCGGCAATAAAACAAATATATAATATCAAATAACGTAAGAATGATTGTTAAGTTGGGCACATGGTTTTCTTTCTATATTGTTTAGTCTACTCTAATTTAAAATCGATATAAGGATCTATTTATTAGTTAAGACTATTAAACAAGACTGTCTAGCCGACAGTCTTGTTTAATCTTCATTACCATATTATTTTTGAGGTTTTTTTATATATTAATATACCTAATTTATAATATAGGACATAAGTATACCTAATTATTTGTAAAAGCCGTTTTATGTTTATTTTATAATTTTACATTCATGTTATTCAAAAAGATGACGTTACCCAGTTATGTCAAATATCAGTGCAGTAGTCTGGCAGTAGTTAAAATAAGCTCTTCAGCGAGTGAGTGTGTGTGGTTGCTTTTGTGGTCGGTTCCACATTGGGGTCTTCTTCAAGCCGTAGGAGATTCCAAAACAAATAAGACGTCCGTCCGGCTATGGTGTTACAATATTTTTTTATAATAATAATTGTCAGCATATGTTGCCGGGCTAATGTAGTAATAGCACGTGCCATAAGAAAGGCGACAGCATAAGGAACACCCAAGTAGAACTGCGCGCTGGACAGTTTGGGTGCTGGTAAGTGTGTAATTATAATATTATGTAATTAGAATGAGTTGATTACTTTTGTCTTTACCCTCTCCGGTAGCGTTCGGTTCACAACACACAGAAGTTTAAAAATAAGCCCTCGTCGTTCATGCACTGTACGGGAAGTTCGCTATGCGATGGCGAGTTTGCCAAAAAACGCGAGGATTGCTAACAAAACACGTGATACCGTTCTATTTCTAGTTAAAGTCCACTCCGACGGCTACTTAATGGAATTCCTATGCCTAAAAGGTACTTATATACATATATAAAATGTATAAAAATATATATATATATACCGCTATCGGCTATTCATTCCTAACTCTATTTCTCCCCCTCCCCCCCCGCACATCTCTATCCATCCCGTCGAATTTCAAAAACGCGACCGTGATCTTTTAAACTGCCAAAACACATGCACACATTCACAGATCGGGTGAAAATTCCAAGATTTGTCACATGGAAGCTTAAGTGAAAAAAATTATTATTACCAATCGACCCATGCCGTTTGCTCGTTTTGTTAAAAATTGAGGCATTTATCCGATTTGAAGGCTTGTGGGTTATGTGGGGCCTATACCAATCAAACATTTGGCGTCCGATGTATATATATATAAAACTTACAATTTATTGTTAGCTGCAAAAAAGTTATTTAAAAATAACCCATTTTTTAAATTTGCAGACATTACCCAATAACGCACCGTGGTGAGTCGCTTTCTGACTAATGAATACAAATCAGCTACATTGTTCGAACTACTTACTATAATGGTTTATCCTGTTTTAGGGATTAAAAATATATTTGAGTATCTGTAGATCTTATTTTTGTTTAACCAAATTGTTTTCCTTGAACGCTTATAGTTGTATATATAAAAAAAAATTGAAATTTATATTTTATTGTTATAGTTAATATTTTACTTGGTGATTTTTTAATTTTAAACGGGTTTACTAAAAAACAATGCGTTAATTTTTTTATATTACTTGATATCAATGAAAACTTTGCACTTTTTATTGAATAGGTACACTTATGAATGTAATTCACTTTGTATTTATAATTATTTTTGTATTATACCGAATATCAAAACATCATAAAATACTGTTATATCTAATAATATTATTAAAGGAAAAAGGAAAGTATACATAAAAACGATAAAAAACAAACACTTTAAAGTTTTCATATGGCATTTTTTTTTACTATACACAATATAAATAGTAAAATATTTACAACAAGTTTATAGGTACGGGTGGAAACACTTAAAATAATATAAGATTTATATATATATAATATATTATAATCATATTTTAAGAACATGCGTTGTATCACTTGTACAGATACACATATAACATTATTTATATATTTAGATATAAATATTATAAGATATTAAACTGTTGGATACTATTGTGTAGGTCATAATGATAGCTTGATCAAGGTGCTTTAATAATGGTGGAATAAGTTCAACAATCAATATAAGTAAACCGTCGCAGATTTTGCGGATAACATTATGTTTAAAACAAAAATATACTATTTACAAATGTACACTTATTTATATAGACTATAGGACTTTATATAATATATTTTTTTTTATAATTTATGTGTTGTGGAGAACATGACTAAAATTTCCATTAGTATGTAGGTACTTTGGGGAGGTATAAACATTATTCATCAAAGTATCAAAAAAAAAGTACTTTAAATAATTAAAATCATATAATATATACAATTTTAGATTTAATTTTGTGTAAATTGTACTAGTTTTTTTTAACCAAATTGAAAATAAGATCAATATATATATTTTTAAATAATCGTTCCTAGTGACATAACTCATAAGGTAAACAAATTGGCTTACAGATATATCATATTCTATAGAATTTATATTATTACTATTATTATCAATTATTATTAATTATGTTACCAGAGGCGGATTCAGTCGATTAAGTTGAACATTGAACAAACATTTTTTTTTGAGCAAAAACCAAAATACATTTTTTTTTATGAGATTCAAAATCTTGCATTCGATTTTTTGCAGTATGTCTAGTTTTGTAATAATGTGTATTTATATATACATTTATAATATCTGTACAAAATATCAAATAACCTATATAGATTAGAAATCAACAAAAACCCCTATTAAGTCGTTTTTTTTGTAGAAAATTCATATTGCCTATTGATTTATTTCAGAATAAAATTTTGCCCGTACTCCCTGAATCCTCTACTGATGATAATATCATAACATAACCACCACAGTGTCATAAAAAAGTAAGTATAGGCTACAACTTATTGATAAAAACACAATTTATAGTATTATTATGGCCTACGGCCTACAAAGTAACAGTAAAGAAAACAGACAAAAAAAAACCAAAATATAATAAATATTATAAAGCTACAGATTAATACAATAAAAACTCATACAAACCTATGATTACGGTAACATTAAAAAAAAAAACGCACTAAAAAGTTTTACAAAAATATAATATATAAACTTTAAAATGATTATTGACTTAACCAGGTGCCAAGACCCTTTTCGACTAACTACATAATAATAATATATAAAGAGTAGTTTAATAATGTATGTACATAACTATTTCCGCATAACTTAAAACAAATACGAATGTAAAAAAAGAAAAAGAAAAGAAAACTTACTTCATAACTATTTGGAAACCGTAACAATTACACGTTGAATAACATTATATTGAACAATATAATAGGCTCAAGAAGTGAATAAAGAAAATGTAAAAAACAATAACAATACATTTTTTATGGAAACTTTGTAATGATTGTTTTTAAACATTTTAAATGTTGTTTTTTTTAAGTAGGTACCTACGTAGAATTTTTGGTTTCGAGACAGCCTATAAAAGAATGTAGTATATTATTATAATTATTTAACTACGGTTTAAAAAAAAATTATAGGACAAAACAATAATAATAATATTATTTTTTTTACTATTAAAATAATTTATTGTTTTTCTTGTTGGGAGACGTTCGAGCGATACGAGACCTTAACACAATGCACACAAACTACACACAAGTGCATTTATTATCGATCGTTTCTATATATTATATTGCAACTTTCCCAGTCCAATCGACTTGTCAACCGCTTAATAATTATCGTCTAATTTTTGGGATATTAAAAATCGTAAAATAATAATATAAATATAATAATAATAATAATAATAATAGTAATAATAGTAATATAATGGAAAGTGATATTATTTTTTGACGATGATAAAAAAAAAAAAATAAATAAAAAAGCCCATAGTACAAGTTATCTCATTCGCGACAACGTTATTTTTTTTCGTTCAACAGATTTTTTTTTTTTGGTTACTTTTATTTTTGAGCTCGACAAAGGTCCTCGCTGTTGTATCTTGCCTGCCGCTTTGTCCGGTTTCTTTTACACGAGGTGATGCCAATTTTTCGAATGTTTTTTTTTTTTTTTTAATTTTTTTGTTCTTAATTTTGTTCATAATTTTGTTTTTGTTCATTGTTTCTTTTGCGCTCATAACGAGGCAGGCGTCCCTGTCATCTGCCTCCAAACGGAGTGTCACATGGAGTTGATGTACGGCCAACTGAAACTGCTGCCACTCAACAGCATGTCCCGGATGAGAGTCTCGATGGGCGTCTTGCCCACCAGCCGGACGAAGAACAACTGCTCGATCACTTGTGAGCTGACTGTGCGCAAAGACGGCAACCTGAGCAACAACTTGCCGAACCTTATGGGTTGGTTGGGGTACTGTGTCCGGCAGTACTCTTCCAGGGCGCACTGAGATTTTTCCTGCAGCGATTCGATGTGAGCCACGTCCGACAACCCGCATGCGTCTGAAAGAACAAAAAAAAAAATGGTATGCATAAAAAACGTGTACACTATAACATATTATTACGAGTAGAACGTTCAAAGGATTGTGGTAGTATATTAAACTACTGGTTGTGGTATGAAAAAAAAAGTTCAAAAGTTCACCCGGAAAACCTAGCGCCGGATCGACCGACAGGCACTGAGAAAATACACAGTATGTCGTCAAACGGTCAACAGCTCATGGAAAACAATTCGATGTCATTAGACTATTAATGGATAATTATTACATATTTTACAGTGGTCGAGACTTGTATCGATTGATACTCTTACGCACTTTTCGCCCGTCTCTGTTCGTAGGTATATTTTTCAATATTACAAAAATGCAAAATTATGCAAACGACACCCACCCGATGTTTGTTTTCGAGATTTCTAACACACTCGACCCTTCGGCGGAGGTTTTTTTTTCAATCGAGGGTCGAACACCCTGTGCTCGTCGGGCCGCAAACAGAGGGACCGTCTCTTTAATTAGGCGCCTTGCTGCCGTTTGGCTCTGGGCGCACATAACATTAGCATATAGGACAGGACCGGAGTAACTCTTACTGAAACAGCGCACAGACCATCTGTATACACTGCAAGTGCCGGGTTTCAATCGATTTACATATTATACACATGCTTGATTAACCAAAACCGCCGGCCTTGCGAAGAACACATCTAATCGCAGCTGTAAGTCGTATATTACATTTTTTTTTTCTTATCTCAACACTCGACATAGTAGTAGATGACGAAGCCTAATTGATTATTTAACGGGGGGGAAAATAAAAAAAAAAGAAAAAAAAGAAGATAATTATTTCATTTTTCGGGTTAAGGCCGCAAAAACAGTTGTTTTCTTGTTTTTCTATTCTGCATAAATTTCGTCCCTGAATGTTATCGACGAGCACAAAATATTATGATGTATTTAAACGCTCGGTGTAAAAACAATTTATTTGATTCTTTTTTTTTTGTCTTGTCTTCAAACAATTTCCCTCTTCGAATAGTAGCTGCGTTTCTTTCACATCATAGGCTCCCATAACCGTGTCTTGGGAAGACACGGAGCGCGGGTACACGTATTAATGGGCCGACTGACCTCGAGCCGACAACATTGACCGATCCTACATGACGAACACAGTTGTATAAGATCATACATGCATATTATAATATTAATATATAAATATATATATATATATATATATATATATATATATATATATACACACACGTGCTGACGCAACGGCGCGTTTATTTAAATTGACAACGCGCGTGTATATGGGCTTTTTTTTTTACCGCTCGGTGCTGTTTTTTTTCCTCAGCTGTTGTTTAGATGTTTTAATTGTCACCGTGTTATTCGAGAGGCAATTGTACGGACGGCGGCCCATTAATTAAAGAAACACGACGATAGTGAAAAAAAATCCAACTCTCGCTTAGTGTGTATGTATATATATGTATACATTGTATACTTAATAATAAACCGGCGTGTCACCGGGCGTTTGTCTATTAAAAAAAAAAACTCCCTTTTTCGCCGCCTAATTACCTTTTCGGATGGTCCCCGCGCTCCTCCGCCTTGCATCGTTAAAGCAGAAATACTATATTATAATAATATATATCTACTAACGTCCGAGATTTTTCACGATTTTCTCCAGAGAAGAAAAATAATGTCCGTATGTAAGAATTAAATACGTCGCTAGAGTGAGTGTAGTTAAGCTGTAACCGATTGGGGTTTTATATTATATTCTAGCCAATAACAATGAATTGCGATTAGATGTTATTAAAAACTGATAATCGATAACAATTGTTCAATAACCTAGTACAACCTTGTAAAATATTAAAGAATTAACCTTAAAAGTCTATAATTTATAACTGAAGGTTAAAGGTAAAAGTTAGAAGTCACTTTTTTTTTTAGATTAATTAATAATATTATTATACTTAAATAGCTCAACGTCGCCCCAGTGGTGTTCGAAAATGATTTAGTTATTTTAAGTCATTTTAAATCTATCTAGAATATGACTGGAAATACCCTTGGTTAAGTTTTTTAGAAAATATTATATTATTATAGTTGCGCTTCGCAGAATGTTGACTTAAGGCTGTCCAACAGACCTCTAAAGCAAACTGGAATTGTTTGTAAGGATATAAGACGAGCGTCGCAAAAATACTAGGTTTGTAAGTAGCTTAAAATATGAATTAATGGCGTGCCTGTCATGTTAAACGTCGGTCGAATAGCGTTCTCGGAATTTTCGATGCGTTTTAAACAACTTTTTTACAGTATGTTTATAAATTTTCAGATTTACCCACTTAAACCTCTTGAATGTTTTTTTATTTTATTGATTCGTACATTTACATCACGCACTTGGGACATTCTCGAGTCCACTTGGTGTTACTGTACTTTTTGTTTTTATTATTGTATGTTGTGAACAAGTTGTTCGGACGACAGGTGCGAGACACGTGCCGATGATAAAAATGTGTCGGAAACCTATATTCATTTTGTTTTTTACCCCGTAGAGGTCATAATATACGTTGTGTAAAACGTTGATGTATATTTCGTACTTATAAGCACCCTCGGTGTACAAGTTTCTCGTGAGCCGAGAATCACTTGTTACACATCTGATCCCCGTCGCATCATAATACACATAACAACGCGGTTGAGGTGGTTTCTCTTTTTTTTGTTGTCGTTTCCCCTTTGGCTTTTTGCGATGACTCGTGCGGTCAACCGCACCGGCTACCGCCAACGCACTCCCCCCGGGTCGGACGAGATAACAAATGCTCAAGAACAGCAGCAGGCCACCCTTTGCACGGTCGTTACACTTGCGGCGTGTGGCAGTCAAATCCGCTTTTATATTAAACGGGCCAAACCCTCTAACCCCGTCGTCGAGGTTCACCCTCGGAGGTGGCAGTCGTTTTTTCGTGCGGTTGTCGTTTTTTTTGCCAAAGGGAAACTGTGTTATGGTATATAATATAAAAACCGTCATGACACTTTTTATTAGAATATTAATACAGCAAACAACGACGACGGCAGTACAATAATAATTGAAGACAGTCGGCATAGCCCCCCCCCCCCCAAGGGTTTCAAAGACGTCTGCAGATTTTCGGGCCTTTGTCAATTAGCCATACCGACATCCGCCGGGAAAGTGGAAAAAGTTAACGGTTTCATAAACTGATTACCGTCGTTATTGCGCTGATTTGTACGGAGCGCGGACCGCCGTACAAAAGACGGTTTCCGCGTTTACTGTACTTCGGTTAATGATAATAATAATGTCATAACAGAGGACACCGAATTATAAAATATTCAAACTTCTGGAGGTAAGAGTTCAAAACTCACGACCGGCTATATTATTATTACAGTAAATTGGACGGACGGAAGGTGACGGCTCCCGGTCGTACCGCGATGACATAAATTATTATAATATTATAATAATAACTTGCCGGTGGCCCGGAATTTACATAAAAAACATTAAACCACCCTCGGAGAAGTGTTTGCGAATTGAACTCGTCGATTTCCAGAGCTCGGGGTCTTCGCGACGACGTTGCCTGTACATTTATATATTATAATGATTATTATTATTGTTGTATCAGCAGTCTGTGGCAATTGGCACCGAGCCCCGTGCGTGTCCAATGACCGCGACACGACTAAGGCGTGTCTGCGGTCCTTGTCCTAAACCCTAAGGTTTAAGTTTCTCCGGCCAAAATCGTCGGATAAACGAAAACGGCATCCCTAGACGTTGTTTAGAGGCCTCGCTATTACATGTTCAAAGCTCCTGCTGGTAAACACATAGAATTGTCTGTTAAGACCCTAGACGTACCTACCACTAACGCGCAGAAGTCAACAACCTAATTTGGTTGGCGATTCTAATACTTAAACAAGATCGGATAAAACGTTGAAAGCCCAAAACTCTCCTCGAACAACGACGCCGAGAAACCAAAGAAAATGTACACTATTTTCATGCACGTTACTTGGACTAGTCCACAGATGAAACTTAATGGAATTAATAAATATATGTAATTGATACATTTAACGACAGCCATAACGATTCGCTATTCCATGTTGACTGTAGTATAAATAAGATTAGAGTAAACGCTGTTTGCAAATCGTTTACAAGTCGTTTAATGGAGAACGTTGGCGTAGAATTGTTGTTATAATGACCACAGTATATAATTAAAAAAAAAAAACCTTAGTTTTTCCACAAACGTTTCCCTTTTAACGTAAAAAATCAACGAATTCTATTATTTTAGATATTTTTTATAAATCTTTAACGTTTGTAAAAAAAAAAAAAAACTTCAGTAGGTGCTGGGAGCAACGCTTTAATTGACCCTAAGGGATTGTACAAATAAAAATTGTTTTATTTTATTGTAATATTATGGTCGTTTCACTTCTCCCAATTAATACTTTTTTGTTTAATTGAAAAAAAAACTGGCTCCCCTAACGGTTTTGTGTAGTTTGTACTTTTTTATTAGCATTCGTCGAGACATTTTAAGTAGCCGGTTAATTGATAAATACGGCTTATACATATTTTATTAGTATTTAAAATTAAGCGTGCTTTTTTTTTAACATACTCACAACGTACGATGAGCTCACACTCTTTTTTTTTTTTTTTAAGTACGGGGTACGTTTTTTTTATATTCATAATCGGTTCAACCCGCATTTTGTGCGCCTCCCATGTGCGGTTCGTGCAATCGCGTGTCAAAGGTCGATCTGCTGATTATACAGGGTGAATTATATTCATTGGGCTAGACAACATCTCCTAAGATACTAATTAAAACATAAACAATTCTTGAATTCGAGGAATGTAAAACGATTTGTCAATAAAATATAGTTATTATAATACCGAGATGTCTATGAACTAGTTAAGTTCAAAAAAAAAAAAAATACAATTGAATATTTAATGCGATATCGATTCATGGTTAGCATAATAATATGAGTCACCCTGTAAGCGTTACCTAAATGTAATAGGACAAACGCTCTTAAACGATTATTATTACCAACCGAGAAAGGGTTGCA